GAAATTGTGACTGTTATTCGTTTTAAAAGCCTTTAATATTTTGCAATTGCTCGAATTTGAGAAACAGGTGAACTAGTTTTATATTGTAGTTAGATAGAGTACATTGTAGACTGGCAAATAAGTGATGATGCAAATATTAATATTGCATGCTGGCTTGGTATTAAATCATGATCAGCTGTAGGCCTATTGAAGTAGCCTAAACAAAAACTACCTGTAGGCCTAAATGGCTCTAATACTATTCTTGTGGGGCACATTACTTACGTTATATCTAATTTTGTTATAGGTAATATTTTAGGATTTTCACTAGTTTTCCCACTATCACGGGATAGAGGCCTTTAATTTAAGCCCTCTCCCATCGTTCTATGACTTCTCAGTCACCCACAATGTTTACTTACGCAAAGAATCGCCCTACATAATTAAATATAGGCTATAAGTTAGATAGGCCGTGGCATAAGCTAAACTAGCTTAATTTCTCCATTGGTTAAAATTATATTTTAAAAGGCATCTTTCATGGATACAAAATACATTTAATAGCCTTCACAGCTCTTCCAATTTAGGCAGATATAACTTAAAACTTAACTCAAACATGAAAACTTGGGTACACTTCCATATCTGTTGGCACAAACAACCGAATAAAAATATCGATCGATATACCAATTATTCGATATATCGTCTGGTTAGTTAAGTAAGGTTAACCTAACTTAACTAATAACCAAACGATATATCGAATTAAACAATCGAAAAACCAATATTACTCATTGGTTGTTTGTGCCAACAGATATGGAAGTGTACTCGAAAACTTGAATAACTTAACTTAGTAATGATTTTATAAAGAAATACCAATTAGGCTAGAATAAGTTAGGTGAATAAAATGGTTAAGTTAGCTAGCTTACTTGGTACTGTAACAAGTTCTAGAGTGACTTGTATTAGGCCTACTTATGGATTAAATGCATAAGTCATAAAAAGTTTAGAAAGATGTAGATTATAACCAAAAAAAATAAAACAAGCAAGTTTGTTTGTTTCCTAGCAAACTGAATACATCCTCATTATACCTTATTACACTACTTTTCTACACCTAAACAAGATAGCCACAAGATAGCTTGCTGTAAAGGTAGAGGTCATATTTACCACATTTACCCAGACCCAGAAACGATGGACAGTTACCGATGTAAGTTGTAAATCGGCAGAGTTGCAAAAACATAAGTCAATAAAACAATAGTTTTACGAATTAAAAACAAAGAATTACTGTAATAAAAACTGTGGTAGCATTAACTTTTAACTCTCTTTCTCCTTAGAGCACTTTGCACTTTACATTTTCAAAACAAAACATAAACATTTAAACAATAACAAAAAAAACGCAAACAAAACAATGAGAAATGTTGCAAAATATACAATGAGTGGAGTGGAGTGGAAGTAGAAAACTAAAACAGCTGTTTATTTACTGTAAATATCCAGCATTCAGCTTTTCGTTGAATTAGACCGATAGCATTGATTATAGAGCTTAGTGATAGCATTGACTTTATATCTGTGCTAGGTAGTGGCACTGGTTATACATTTTTTTACAAGCGATCTAAGTTCACTATAGAAAATTAAGGATTATTTTGAAATCTAAAAATTTAATTGGCAAACTGGCATACAAAATTTCTCAATATGCCGTTTATTGTTTCGTCAAAAACTATAGTATTTTACTGTATAAAACTGGGAACACCAATAGATAAAACATAGTCCCTTAGTAGATTTCACAACCTTATGGAACAGCTGAAGCCAATTTTCTGTTAGTTCTGTCCGGTTTTCTGTAGATGTCGTGATTTGTTCACATTTTGTTTCTTGTTATTTCAGTAATTTAAAAACTCGTTTAACCAAATAAATCTATCTAATCATAAACAATAACTCGTCCACTAGCTATATAACCAAACAGTGAGACACAAATAATGAGAAATTAACACTAAAATAATAGGAACAAATTGTAAACAAAACAAGACATCTACAGAAAACCGGACAGAACTATCAATAAAATTGGCTTCAGCTGTCCCATAAGGATGAGAAATCTAATAATGAACTAGTTATGGTTTTATCTATGATATTACCATAGACGACAAACCAACACAAGTACACTCTTCCCATCCCATTGTAAATTTTGAAGCTCGTTTTTCATGTCTAGTTCATGTACACCACACTGGGCGCTAGTGTTGACGAAATTTTGTTTGCATTATTTTAGATTTAATTTCATGATTTGTGCTTAGCTGTTTGGCTATATAACTAGAGGACGAGTTATTGTTTATGATTATATAGTTTTATTTTATCTAAACACTTCTTTATACTTCAATAACTGCAGTTGGTTGACTGTAAGTAATATTTATATTTTAATTAAAGCTTGTATTTATGTTATTTAAACTACAAATAAAATAAGTCAAAACCCCCACTTTTGGAAATATATTAATGATTTGGATAAATGTATGTCCTGTACTTCTGTGATTTATGCGGATGACTCCACTTTCTTAAATAGTCAAGGTACCTTTGGTGAACTCATGGTGCTGTCCAAACTTTCCCTCAATGAAGCTAGGAACTGGTTCAGTGTCAATGGGTTTTTTATGAATCCTGAAAAGACTCAAACTATTGTTTTTAGGTTAGGTCGCACACCTGAGGAAGAAAAGAATTTTTCATCAAGTGTAAATTTATTAGGCATAGATTTGGATAGTGATTTAAGCTGGTCAACCCATTTATATAACTTAAGTAAGAAATTGTCAAGAGTTTTATTTTTAATTAGACGTCTAAGAGATTTTGTTCCTCCTTTGTATGTTAGATATGCGTATTTTGCTTTTTTTCAAAGTCTGTTAAAGTATGGTCTGTTACTGTGGGGTAACTCCACCCACATTCTAATAATTTTAAAGCTTCAAAAAAAGGCTGTAAGACTGTTGACCAATTCAGGGTTGAGGGACCATTGTAAACCTCTTTTTAAAGCAACAGGTATCCTGACAACTGTAAATTTGTATATATTAGAGTGTGTTATTTTTGTAAAACAAAATTCACATTTCTTTAGCTCAAGAAATAATGTTCACTCATATTACACAAGGGGAAGATCTGCTTTGGATAGGCCCTACACCAGACTAACAACAGTACAGCAAAGTTTTGCTAGTATATCAGTGAAGATAGTGAATTGTTTTGCAAGTGAAATGCTTGACATTCCTTGTACTCGGCTGAAACAAAGGTTGATGGTTTGGCTTGCTGACCACCCTTTTTACAGTTTAGATGAATTTTTTGCAGAATACAATTGTAATGGTAAAATTGTTATCTAGTTCTTACTTAGTCCCTAGTCAACTGTTACCTAGTCTTTCAAACGCTTGTTTAAGTACCTCACTTTTGTTTCATATATATAGTTCTGTGTCTTTCAAATGATTTTAGCTTTTATTTTCTTGGTGTCTTTGTTATATTTAAGTTTAGTGAAGATTCCATGTTATAGACCATGTTATACTATCTAGAATCTATGACCCTTTTTTTTGTTAACGAGGTCTATTGTAACATATGTTATTTAATGACCAATAAAGATTTATGATTTATGATTTATGTAAGAAACATATTTTCACTTTTTGACAAAGATGTGTAGTTGTAAAGGAAATAATAATCGAGTGTCATGTAAAAGGCGTTACGGAGAAATGTTGGACACAAAGTGGAAAACAAATACACTAGAAAACATCTATGATTATTCTACCAGTAAAGTTTTATAATTACATGAGCCCAGGCCAGGTATTTTCACTTAAAGATACTCTTGAACAATGCGATCATAAAAAGTAATTTTCCAGGGTTTGTACCACCACGTTCTTGTGCAAACATGAAAAATGCACCTGTAATCGAAATGTACCAATGAATTACACCTACTAATTAAAATTATCGTTATTGTGTTATAGTTAGAAATTAATCACGGAGAATCTATTTATTATGTCAAAACTAAGTAGTTCACTATTAACTCTATTTTATAGTAATTTGAACATTAATTATGCTGACAATTAACAAGATTTTTAAAATTTGAAGTAGTGTGTTATTTTAGACGTTTGTAATAATATTAAATTTAAAAGGGATATACTTAATTAGTACAGCTTTGATACTTAATTAGTATCAATCAAATTTTCAAGATATACTTTGGAAAAAGCTTAATTTTTCAATCATGGTTCACCGGGCTACTTAATTTTATAGTATAAATTGTGTGCGACGTGCGTTATTTATAATAAATGCAGCTGGACCAGCTTCTACAGCAAAATAATAATTTAACAAGGTCAAATAAAACTTTTCTTATTATTATTTTACAAAGCGGTAGAATTATTAGAAGAGCTCTCAATTGCCCTTTGACCCAGTAAGGTGGGGCACGACAAATCAGGTTAAATCTTGTTGACATACATATCAGCTGGTGCTCTAATATCGATCCATCATTAGTACCTAACATTCTTTCTGCCTACAGTAGGTATACGATCAATTTACGATTTTCAAAACCGATCGAGTCCGTCAACGAACACTCAGCTCTCATCAGGTCCACCCACTAACTAACGCGTATTAATGAAAAATTAGGAACGAAACCGTTTGTAATCGGATTGGTTGAATTTATTTCAATACAGTTTGTGTATATTCACATGTATTTAACTACTCTGAAGAGTAGCAATTTTCCAATTTGCTTCAGCAGAAAAGGACAGAGCGTGCGCAGAAGTTTAAGTAGGCAATAGAAATTATTTGGAAATTGTGTACGACCATCAAAAGTTTATTTAATTGGGGGATAAAAAAATACTAATTCGAAATTATCAATAATAAAAGTTATTTATGACACAAGAAACTACAGCAAATAGTAATACAGGGTTTATCTATGATTTCAAACCTTCATTGACAGTTTCATTAGTTTCCTTGCCATTGTCAAAAAGATAGAACGATAAAGAAAAACAGCTGTAAAAACTAGATTTCTCAGTTTTTCAGTTGGTAATTTCAGCGAAATCAAACTGGATAGAAAAGAAACTTACTTTTCTCGGAGGCGGCTGCATGGTCCCACATCAACCGGAATATTGCACTCCCTCAAACACGACCGAACATATTGATTGAGGCTGTTCCACCCTCTTCTCTCACCCCCGCACGACGCACGCCTTCATATCAAGGGACCATTGGGTTCGATATCCACTCCACTGTTATTACTCTATGACATCTAGAGCGAAATGAATAGAGAGATTATGGATTTGTACAATAGTAAATAAATATATTACGTAAAATTATGTCGGGGCATTTTTATGCTAGTGGTGCATTTCCATACATCATTACAATGTTAACCTTAAAGTTCCTTTGTTTTTTTATGTACCGTACTCGATTAAGGGACAACAAGATACTGTTATAAACACGTTATAAAGCTGTAGCATTGATTATACACCCCGCTTGTGAAAAGCTGAGAACAACACATAATACAGGATCCCCAAAAATTGAGTAAACTATTTACTTTATAAAGTCAATGGAAAAAACTACTGAGCAATGACAACATTCTTAACGTAATCCCAAATCACCTTTTGAATTAAATATTTAATATAGTTACTGTCATTTGTCATTTGGATTTGAATGAGTTGGAAATTTTGAATTAAGTAACTTCTATAGAGAGTAAAGTAAGTTAACTTAACTATATATACATTTCCTGAAGAGACGGCCATGGTACTAGAGAAAATGTGCAACTCGTTATGTCCGTGGGGTTTGGGATCTTACTCCTGGTGGGTTTAAAAGGATGAACTGAAAGATAAAAGTGCAATTTTTTTTAAGGAACGTCATTATTGTGATTCTTTCTCATCTCAAAAAAGGCACTGAGATTACACTGTGTGTTCACTATGCATTGCCCTTCCTATTGAATTGATTCTCTCGGAAGATAACCATATCAGACGATTAAGCCGCCGTGTCTCCTTCCTTGCCAAATGTGGCGTTTTATTACCATATCCTGCTCTAAATAAAAGGGCACGCTTAACACAGTGGCAACGCCGTATTCGTTTTGACGGCCTATTGCATAGCCGTCTCTAGTAATACTATATATATATACTATATATATAGTATAGTATATAATACTAGTAATACTATATACTAGAGATGGCTATGCCTATTGCCATCATAAAACAAACGTGTACACATTAGCTTTACTCAGACGCTCCACATGACTTTAGTGTCACAAACTTTTCCCATAGGCCGGGACTGCGACGTTGCCACTTTTGTAGTAGGTGTTAAACAGAGGTTGAGTAGGATGAAGTAGACTGTATTTTTGTGAGTGAACAACCTCAGCAATGCCTGGCTCCCTTATCTAGATGTCTTACAGAAATCTGTAAGATCTTAACCACGATTGTCACCAGTGGTGTATCAAGGTTAGGGGGTTGAAAGTTGAAACTTACCCTTCACAAAACTGAAGACGGTGAAATCTAATAAAGGTTAAATTGATCACTGTCTTTTAATTTAATTTTCCTATTTCCTTTTTTTCTTATTTCTTTTCCGATTATTATTTTCCTAAAAAATGGACGACACTGGCAAATAACTTCTCCGATGGTTACGAGATGTTTTAGGTTTTAGATCTTGGAGTTAATCTGAACTTGCATGGGTTGTTTGATGTGGGAGGGCCTCGCATTGTTCCTGTCAGAATTTTCCTAAGAAAAGAGGAATCCCCCCCTTTGCCCAAGGAGGAAAAATAAAAATTCATAGGCTTCTATTCTGAAAATAAAGTTTATTGGCTTTGCACCGTTAGTGTAGTCGTATAACTTAGATTAAGGAAATAGGATATTTTTTTAGGATATTAAATTTACATGTACCAGCTTGGAAATTACTTTGTAATTACTGTTTCAGGCTATGTACAATAAAGCTTTGTCTATTGTATATAAAACAAAGCTTTAATTAATTGTGTTAAGTGATGTCGATGCATCCTTTGGAAGAGTTAGATACTGCATCCATATTTTGTACTACCATTTATAACAAAACTTTGGAACAAACATAAAACTAAGGGGGCTATCCATTCTATAGTCTAGTCAAGATATGAAAAAAACACCCTTAACCTTAAAAAAATTGCTCTAAAAGGTTTTTTGATGGTTTTCATTTCCAAAAAGTATGTTAAATAACATACTAAAAGTCTAATAAAATCGGAGTCTCGGAAATTGGGTTTTTCCAATATGGCGTCCAAAAATTAAAAAAATAATAAACCTTACTATTTTCCCTGTAAATTTTCTTCTGAAACTCCAATTTAGACCGAATTTGGTACAAACCTTTGAAACTGTATGTATTATCTATAAACTATTCATGATTTAAGATAAATAATATACAGCAAACGTGTTGTATGGGGTTGAAAATAGGTAAAAATCTGTCTTAAGTTGTTAGTAGTAAATAACTTATTTCAACTTTGGTCACTATAGGGAACAAAACTTTTTATCCCTAGTCTGTGCTATACCGCCTATGTTGTAAATCCTTAAAAAATATATGCAATTTAGTATTCTTAATCATTAAATTATCTTAAGTGGTGGTGGGATAGTTATAAAAAAAACTATGTAATTCTTATGGGAATTCTGAAAATTACCATATCTTAATTGTTAGTTGGTACGCTTGGATAACAATTCATCGTGGCCTGTATCGTCTCCACAGATACTAACACACACATATTTGTCATAAGCGAATTCTGTGTTGAGTCAAGTAATAGAATTTGTTTCAATACTTTTTTTACGCTCATTCAATTCTTTTATTTTGTAATAGTTCACAAGTAGTTTATAAAAAAAATTATATGTATAATGTTAACAGGTATATTTTGGTAATACTGTTGTTAATCAGCTGTTTTTAAACTCCACAGGATTCGCTTCCGCTCGTTCAATTGTAGTTAAGTAATAAAACACAAATAGTTAATTACAAAAATAATTACATGTATAATGTTTACAGGTTTATTTTGGCAATACTGTTGTTAATCAGATGTTTTTTTTACTTCATATGATTCCAATCGTATTGTTGTTCATGTTTACAGTTATTTAGATCAAATTTGGTCTAGTCAAGATATGAAATAAAACCCCTTAATCTTAAAAAAAATTGCTTTAAAAGATTTTTTGATGGTTTACATTTCCAATAAGTATGTGAAATAATACCAAACTAAAAGTCTAATAAAATCGGAGTCTCGAAAATCGGGTTTTTTTTTCAATATGGCCAAAATTTCCAAATTTCCCTAAAATATTTCCATAGACAAGCAAGCTTTAAGACATTATTTATTCTCCATAAGAATAACATGGTCATTTTAAATGTACACTTTTTTTATTTTCTCCGTAACCGTTAGGCATACAACAACGCTTCTGTATACTAAATTATTTGGTTTTATGATCTCTTCAAAATGTTTTGGAAATAAATTGCAACTTTTTACAGTGAAAAATGGGAAAATCCCATTTCTACCCCGTAAAAAAAATAGGAGATCTTAAGCATACTCAATTTTTGGGCTTAACCTAGACACAAATCTTAAATATACACAAATCATAATACAAAAACTTTCTTCAGGGTTATACAGTATGTTTTTAGGCCAGTGTCACTAATGTAACCTGGACATTCTAAAATAAAAATATTTTGTCTTATGGTCTGGCAATCTATGGAGGAACGCCCAAAAAGTTTAGATACAGTTCTGAAACTCTAAAAATGCTATAAGAATCATGCTATACTTAGACAAACGATAACTGTAAAAGATCAATTTTCAAAACTACACATTTTGACTGTCTGATCAATAAATATGTACTATAACTAGTGGCCTGTAGGGGCAATGGCCCCTAATCTAGACTACAATAAAAAACCATATATAAAAAGACAAATACTCGAAATATGTTTTTAAAATTATCAATTTTATGTTACTTAAAATTAACAGTGTTTCTTTTTTTATATCTTGGTTTTCCTTCCGTTGGAGTCGTATATTAGATGGTTTTGATGTGTCAATGAAATACAATTGTAAAATAATGATTAAATCAATAACACAACATAACAAATGGAAACGTGCACACGGTTTGGCCTGAGCCCGGAGAACGACGAATCAGAGCTGAAATCATACTGCCAAACATTGCACATCTTTTCTAGTTTAAAATTGAAGATTTGTTTTGTAATCTTACGAATCCTGTTATAGTTTCCATTTTGAGAGCCTAATGTATGTAAAGGTTAAAATTATTATTAATTATTATGAAGGCAACTCCCCATTTCGCGGTAGTAAGTCAGAAATATATCTATGAATTTGTCCCTGAATTTTAAAACACAATTGGGAAATTCGAAAAAAATGTCCATTCATATGAAACTAGAAATAAAATGTATATAAATTTATCAATCTCAGCTTCTATGAAAAAACTAAAAAAAAAGAAACATTCATGGGATCAAAATTTTTGAATCATTTTCCTCCCAAATTTAAAAGTAAAATAAACCAAAATTATTTCACAAATCTAGTGAATCAACTGCCAAAAAAAGAAAAGAACTATTATTCATTTGAAGAGTTTTTTTTTATTAATACAAAAAAATAATGTTGAGATGCTCTGCTGGGAAAAAATAAACAATAAGAACGACTCGATGACCCAAAGTGCCGCTCCAGAGATTCTTTTAAGATTTGTTCACTGCAACTACTCTACTGGCTGCAAGAATTTGCAATGCTCCTGCAACAAAGTATGGGTTACCTTGTACTACAGCTTGTGGACTTTACCAGCTTGGAGAACAATGTGACAGTTTGTAAAGTGATCATAACAGTGTACAACTTGACGAAAATTATGAATTATTATTTGTATAATGCTTTACTACTAACCACAAGAAAGTGTGACTATATTATACTATTACTAATGTTATAAATGTGACAGTTTGTTTGTTTTCAGTTCAATCACGCATTAACTACTGGTCGGATTGGGTTGAAATGTGGCTTTATGATAGCTCAGATTCCCGATTAATACAAGCCTATTCTTATCTAAAAAATCCTTTCGGGCTAAAAATGTATAGATATTTATTAAGGTAAATAAAATATGTATGTTGCATTTTAGCAAGCTTGTGATCTTTATTTTCAGACCTATTAATGGATTTTTCAAGCAAAAATTAGTCATAAATTAAAATGCCCCCGCCGCAACAAACCTGCACCCTAAGCGAATTTCAATTTGCCTGATTGAATTTACACTAAAATATCACATTTATTCCCTATTTAAATAGCAATACTTTAACTAGTACTTCGGTTTGCTGCGACAGGGAGGGTAAAAAAGTGTTTTTAGTAAAATGTTAAATAGTTTAGTATAAAACAAATGCATTTTCCAAATTTGATAAAAATATTTTCATATACAGGCTAACTACAACAAGTTTTCTTATTCTCCGTAAGAATAACATAGGAATTTTAAATTTAATTTTTTTTTGGAATTTTCTCCGTAACTAGGTATTAGGCCCATGACAACGCTTCAATGTACTAAATTGTTTTTTTTTCTGAGCCCTAAAATGGTTTCGAAATAAATTGCAAAATTTTACGTTTTTAGGGTCAAAAATGGGGAAAACCAATTTTTACCCCATAAAACCCCCCATAAACCCCTGTTCCCATGGTCCGATCATGCTGGTTCGCAAACTCGTTCAAATAAATGTAGGTTTACATGTTTGTACCAAATTTCATCGAATTCGGATCATTTTTGCTTGAGTTATTGTGCTAACGGACACATTTGACCAAAATCTTGGACGCCATCTTGAATTTTGGACTTCCGAGACTCCGATTTCATTAGACTTTTTTTCCTGGAAAATACACATAATTCTAAGTCAAAATAACCAATAAAACAATTTAAAGCAATTTTTTTAGGGTTCTCGTACGGATTTACTCGACTACTAGGCATTGCCATATCAACTTTATGCCTTTACGATTTTAAGAACAATTTAAAAATAAACCTATGGAGTTGATAGGCAAGGGCTATGCAAGTAGGACCTGCTGTTGAATACTACATTCTAGTTTTCTGTCCCTTCAACAGATTAAACGAAAAAATCAACTTGCTATAGAGTAATTGGCTTTTCATTCAGTCATAGCTTAACACCAAGCTTACATTGTTATCATAGCTCATTGAATGCCTCAAATTATGGTAATTTGGTAAATGCCTTCAGAAAATAAACCAAAGACAAATATAATTTTAAATTTGTGTTTTTACTTTTCTTGAATGATTATTAAGTTCTTTCCCGACTCAACATGACATTAATTTCCTAGATAAATTATGAATAAAATTGTTGTTAATTTTATACAGTGGAACATTACCAATTTGGAAAAATGGTAATTAAATAACTGATTACATTTTTTACTTATATTTCAAAGTCATCTGTGCATCTGAATTAGTCGTTTTTGGCCCTTTTGAAACCTTAATGTTTACGAAGTGACTATTTCCCTTGATTCAACTGTCAAAGCCATGCCTTAACACTGAGCTCTCAAAAAAGCCCAAGTTCTTTTCACTCATTTATTTCTATGCTCTATTAACAGAAATCCTAAACACAATCGGTAAACAATTTAAATTTGAAAGTGCTAGGTCAGTAGTCAAATTTATTAGTAACATAATATATGGCGCTATAAAATTATTGAGCTAACCCATGTAGATTTGTTTAAGTAGACAAAGTCAAAGTAAAAACTTTTGCTTTAGCACTTTTCTAAGAAAACAATTTAAATGATTAAAAGGTTATGTACCTTTTAAACTCTATTGCTTTGTATTGAACCTTGCTATAGCTTCATAGGTGGTTATGATGTACCAATCAATTTAAGGAAAAATAATAAACAGATGTATACTAAAAAAATTTGTATTACGAGACTATGTGCACATTAAAACACATTATATCTTACAAGATCAGCATTTCGTTAATATTTACAGAGGTCGATAAAATTATATGCTGATACACAATATTACATCCAGAAAAAATTATTTAAAAAAATAAAACCAAAACAATATATTCTGTACAAAACAATAACCTGTACAAATTTACCCTAAACATATTACTAATCATTACAGTTGAAAAAGATAACAAAATAAAGAAAACAGAAGATAGAAGATATCTGTAACTTTAATTACAGGGATTAATAATCAACTACTTCTTGTGCAATAAGGGTTCAACAGCGTTAAAACTTAACAATTGATTTTAGAAAACCACAGCATGCTCAAACATTTTTTTTTAATGGCGATGAAAATTTTAATAGAGAACTCGGTAAGTCATATCTGTTTGTATCCTATGTAAAAAACAAACAATTACCAGCATTTTAAAGTAATATAGTCAAAATTACTGTGGTCCAAGGCTAGCTTAGAGACTAGAAATATTATTAACGTATTGGTTACAAGAGAGCAACAACATACAATTTCAAGTTAAAAGTAATAAAACCTATGACGCAATTTATAAATGTTAACAATAATTCACTGATAACAATTATTAGAAATGAATATTTTTATAAACCCTTCGATAAATCTACTATACTTTAAACAGGTATATATATGTATATATTGATTTTTAAAGTACAAATCAATATATTTTACTTTACGTATATTGGTTTATATAATCCATTTAATTAATGAGAGTTAACACATAGAATTCAAAAGATTGTCCTAGAAAAAAGTAATAATTATCTCTTTTGACCAAATTTAACGGGAAAAGCATAGATCAACTATACATTCATAAGTATTTCATAACTAACATATATAAATTTGAAAATTAAGTAGTCGATTCTCTATGTGTTTCTTGTTTAGTAAATGAATAAAAGGAATTTACTGTATCATAAATAAAACCATGAATCAAACAAGTATTCATGAATGTGCTTATTACTAAAAAAACAAGAGTAAAATGTGCGCCTTAGAGTTTAAAATCTTATTACACAATGCTACTTATATCGCTAAACTTCCATTTGATTGTTAAACTCTTTAATTAGTGAGATCTTTAAGTAAGCATGTTAGGAAAAATAGTGACTAAACATTACCAAAATAAGAATAAATATTATTAATCATTTAGTTAAGTTAAAATTAATTTATTTTACAAGTAAAAGAACCATCCTCAAAGTTTAGTAGCTATTGTTTATATGAGTGAGCTTAAAAAGGTTTGTGAATCCCGAACACATTAGTAGGTTTTATATCTACAATTAATATTTTTGTTAGAGTATATTAATAATACAGAGTACATTAAAAAAAACATTTAAAATGTAAATTTTGTCTAGGAACACAATCTATAGTAGTTTAAATGCTACGTACTTAAACACAATCATTATCTAATCAAACTGTTGAAGTTCTAGGCTGGGTTTGACTGTTTTTCAATTTAGAAATTCCTAAATGAAATTTATAATGTGTATAAGCAAAAAATGACTGTTCAAATGAAGATCGTTGCAGAGTTATCTGAATAAGACCTTACATGGAACAATATAGTATTACTACAATTATAGTATTACTATCCAGTTACAGAAAACATAATATTGACATATTAATTGTAAGCTCTGGTGGTTACAGGGAGATTTTGAGACCAAAAGTTAACTGTTAAAAGTAACCGATATGTTTGTTTTTTAGGAAACTCAGCAGCAGATAACTGTAAAACATTCGAAGGATTTTTATTTTTGTTGTACATAAAAACGAGATTTAAGGTGTATCCATCGAGAAGAAAAATCAAATACAGTCAAACATTGTTTGAGCAAAATTTTTCATTTGGGACAGGAGTAATTTATGTAAATCTTATTAATATAAGTTTTGATTGAAACTAAATGAATAACCAAACCAACTTGAGTATTTCTTTAATACACATAAGATAAGATACTTTAAGAGGGAAAAGGAAAACAAAAAAAGTAAAAACATGCTAGTTCAACAATTAATAACTACTTATATTTTTAAAAAGTCAGATACTTATTACCTGCTTGACATAAAAAACATCTACATAATTGGCACAGAATAAATAGAACTTTTTAAAAATATGATAAAAATACATTCAAACAATTTGCACATCCCGACGAATTTCACAAAAATATTATTTACTTTCTTAATCTGCCAGTAGTATCACAATTTAAATCCTCTAAAGGGCGTGGGAGATCAATAACTTTGCTCAGACATCTTAAAAATCTACAACCATTATGATTAAAAGAGATGTCAATCCGCCATGACAGTTTTTCACACTTATAGTTCTTTGTCCTTATTTTGTTGAACACCAAACAACCCTCTGTTAGCCCTTAGTTGCAAAAAAAATATATTATTTTTTATGTTTGTTAATTTTGTTCAGACCTTTTCATTGATGGATATAACTTTTACATAACATAAAAAAAATGTTTTATTGGAAGTCACACACAAATTTATTTCATTTGTAAATTAATCTTTAACACAAGATATCCAAGTCTAAATTAAAAATACTCAAGGACATCATTTCCTTACCCAATTTAAAGTATGTGTCAGGTAGAATAATGATTAAAAACATAACATTAGACATCTACCTGCAAGGAGAAAATATAATCCAGCATCATATAGTAAGCAAGTTGTGTATTTTGGGAATTAATTTAAATAACAATATTGTTCAGTTATACTTTTTTACAATGGTAAGCCAGTATTTAACTTGAAACTAAATTTGAAATATATTAATCAAGGTGTATATAATACTACGGCAGCTTAACAAGTAGTTAATATAGCATACGTTGTCCTAAAGCTTAATTTTTGCATCCGAAACAAATTTCAAAATTTCAGTTAGTTTATTGAATAAAATTGTTATTAAAAGAAATACAGTTCATAATAGGATCAACAAATAAATTCAACCAAATTTGTATAGTGGAATATTCATTCAATTTAGTTTTAAATACACAGTATGATCTGGATGACGTGTTCGTTGGATTGTTATTAGTTTAATACCAAGCATTTGGTGTTAAAACAACTATTCTAAACCAATTAAATTCATCCGTTACAAGTGGAAAGAGGTGAAACTTAATAGTGAAAACAAAAACTAGTAGAATAATTGGTCTAAAACCTTTACAGATCTATTTTTTTATATTTCATGTTTTACAAACATCCAAACAACTTCTAAAAAATAAATAGTATGTTGAAATAATAAAAAGAAATGTTTTTACAATTTTAATGCTTTTTAAAACAGGTCCTTTGGATGTCAAAAAGAATTGAGTGTTATTTTTTTCAATTTTGAGGGCCCTGATGAAAAAAATTAGAATTTGATCAGTGCAAATATATAATATAAACATTTTAATAGTTAATTTATATGTAAAAGATAAGTTGCTATTACTAACCGTCGAGGAGTTACTCAATCGGTAAATTTCATTTGTTGGTATTACTATTGAAATAAAATATCATTCTTGGTTGGTATTTTAAAAAATTTCCTGGAGGAACTGTTTCAAATTGGTGGCCCCAGTTGTATCCCAAAATGTCCTGTATTTTCTTTTGTTCGGATATATTAGTGAATAATAGAATGAATCCTATTTTATTTCCTTCAACTATAACAAATTTCAAAATATCAAGTCATCAAAAGATCAATAGAGTTACATTGTCCAACAATTAATTTCTAAGGATTATTAAATTGTGAAAGGAAAAATAATATATAATCTCTGTACATACAAATAATATTAATATTAAATTGAAACTTTACTTACAATTCATTTACAAATTACACTTAAGACTGTAATATATCTATTTGACATATTTATATTTTTTACAAACATATATTAAAAAATACTCTAAAAAATAGTACAAATAATACAGCACATTCATGTACAATCGACAAACAATAGGACACGTAGAGTATTTACATAAAGTACAGACAAACAGCTATCGTAATTGACATTTGTACACTATTTTTCCTTTGCACTTTCGTCAAAACGTCATAACCTTATTTACATACAATGTGCAAATATACATTTAAACAAAAGAGGAATTTTACATGACAGACCTAGTAATTCACAGTTTTATAAATATTATAATAACAAGTACAATTTTACAAATCCATATCACTTTTCAGTAGCTATATACTTTATTCGAAGGCTGTACACATCAGGCTCACTTTGAGTAAACCGTAAATCCATCACTTAGTGAAGGTTAACAGATCGCATCTAGTTATCAACGTATATAAAACTGTCGGATAAAACAAAACAATAAAACGTTGATATAACCTATTAAATTGCTTAAAATTGCCACTAGCATCACCTCACCACGCAGTCTTGACTGAGCGGGAGGGTGCTCGTGGTCGGCGCCTGCACTGCAGGAGGTGTCTCTTCACTACTAGGTTCTAAGGTCTCCTTCTTCATCTTGTAACCTTCTTCGCACCGGGCAAATTTTAACCTTATCGGAGTTATTTTGGACGTCCTTACTTTGTCTAACTCGGAACACTCACTAGTCCTGGCGGCGGTGGGGGAGGGGGGAGGTGGACTATCACTAGGGACCACTGTCTGTTGCGAAGGTACACTCCCGCTGCCGCTGTCGTCACTGCGCTTGGGGAGCTTGATGATCAACTTGGGCGTTTCTCCGTCTGTGATGACTTTCACTTTAGGAACATCGGTGAAACTCTTATCTCCTTTCTTCTTCCTGCGACTTCCGACTACCTCCTTGCTCTTTTGCTTCTCTTCTTCGTCAAAGTCGGCCATTACCATTTTCCTAAACTTCATACTTTCTCTCTTTAATTCTTCCACAGATGGCATCGGGACACTGCTCAACCTCTTCTTTGGCGGCCTCTCTCTCAGATTCTTTTTCTCGTCATTACTTGGAGCCACTGGACCGCTGGATTCAACAGAGTTTGTAGTGCCAAACTTGATCTTAAGTTTGGGAGTGGTTACAGTTGTTGTTTTAGGTTGTCTGCCTCTTCTCTTGAACGGATGAGGATTATCTGGCACGACAGAAAGATTGCTGTTTCTCCTGTCAGTGTCTTCATCAAAATCTAAATCGGACGGTTTATCTTTTCTGCGTTTTTTATCGTTGCTGGTGTCTATTCCGGCATTGTAGAACTTGTAATCCTCACGAGTGGGTATGCTAGTCATAGATGCTACGGCTTTCGGAATAGTGATCACTGTTCTACTGAGAGGTGGTGCGGCCGTAGGTGGGGCAGTTTGACCTGTAGCTACAGCAGCTGCCGGGTCATCCATGTTCTCTTGTGTCCAGTACTGCCTCAGGAGTTCCTTCTTGCGCATCCGTCTCAGGTTGGATGGTCCGGAGGCATTGACGGAGGATGGCATAGATGATATACTGGAGTCTGGAGCGGTCGGGGGCAACACAGGTTGAGCAGCTGGCACGACAGTTGAGGCATAGTTGGCATCTAGGAAGGGTCCTTTAATTTTAACCTTTAGCTGATTGCGCGAGTCGTTCATTGGGTCTCTTACGATATTTGTGGTGATTTCATTTTGAGCGTCAGTCGGAGGAAGTACTTGAGCATCCTTTTTGTTTTCAATCAGAGGTTTGTTCTGAGAAGTGTTAGATTGAGCTAGATGTTCTAAATCGTCTATGCTGTAGTCTTGCTGTTCAGCAGCAGTGTTAGATGAGAAAGCACCGATGAGGTTATCGTGGTACAAGCTGCTACTTGTTTGTTCGTATGAACTGTAAGTTCTCATATCTACAGGTCCTGGCAGCATAGGTTGTACTACATCAGGGAAGTTTTCAATTCCCACTCTTGATGCATTTTCCTCTTCATTGTGGTTAGTCAGGCGACTGACGGGAGTAGGAGGCTTGAGTTCCCTAACATCGGCTGAATAGTTTGATTTAAGTTTTGAATTGTGATGAGGGCTAGTAAATTTAGGAGAAGATGAGGAATCTCTTGACAAAAATGAGCTATCAGATGATTTCCTTTCATGAACATCAGTTGAACGTCTACGCTCACGCATCGCTCTCAGATTTTCCAAACTATTATCGATGTCATCATCAAAATCAAAGTCATAGACAGTTCCTGCCAGTTTACTGTGGATAGCATTCGGGTCTGAATTATGGTGGTACTGTTGATGAATCTGACCTCTTCCTCTACCTCGACCCCTTCCTCTACCTCGTGAGGTTCCTCCTCCTCTGCTGCCTCTTCCCCCTCTACCTCTGGTGGTGCCTGGCTCTCGTACTCTCGAAGGGGTTTTGGGAGGTTCTAACTGTCTCGGTGATATTCCGGGTGATTTTGCTGGTGATTTCTGTTGCTGAATAACCCTTGCAGAAGACCTAGTTGGTTTTGCAGGAGACTTTTTACCAGGGGCCGGTTTAGGGGGAGGTGGTGGAGGTGGAAGAGATGGAGGTGGTGCTTGTTCGACTTGAGTTTCAGATGGAATATGGTTATAAGAATCAATATTCTGAACTGGAGATTCTTCAGTTGGTTGAACTTGCCGGCATTGTTCAGGAAATGGTGCTGGAGTCATAGGTGTTGGAGGTTCATGAATGTTGGAAGGCGTCATCGGAGTTAAAGGTGGGTTGGGTGATACCATTGCTGCAGTTAGGGCCATGTTATGTGATGAGGATGTAAATGCTGCAGCACAAGGCGCTGGAGGTATATGCAATGTATCATCCACTTTGGGCAGCATTCCATGCGCCCCAGGATAAGCTCCAGCAAAAGGATATAAGTTTGTACCTGGGAAAGGCATTTGCGGAGGGAATAATCCCACGGGACCAACAAACTGTGATGCCTCTGAGTATGGATGATATGGCTGACCGTCTGGGAGTGCACAAGGACCGTATGCCATGGTATGTAGAGTTGGGTATTGCACCAATTCAGGCAACATATTAGGTATACTTGGAGTCGGAGGAGGTATATCATGGTAGGATGGTTCTTCTCTTTTCCCTGGATCCACATCATCTCGATGGGAAGAAGACGATGTGGAGGAAGCTGAGGATGAAGAAGAGCGTCTAGAAGGAAGAATTTCACTTTCTGCCCATTTATTTCTTCCATGGACATCAGTATAAGGAGATGGTATGGGCTCATAATGGTGGGATGGAATATTACTGGGAGGGACCCACCTCTCATCTGCTTGTGCACTGTTGCTTCGATCTACTTTGTCTCGTCCAGGAACTTTGTCAACATCAATTGGCATTGCACATGATTGGTATGAGTATGGATCTGCCTGATGATAAGGTGGAGGGATTTCATGCTTTTTGTCATGAATGGGTTGAATCATATTTTGGTCCATAGATACCATATCAATGTTCGGCTGATGCTCGACTATTGGTTCTATTACGTTTACTGAACACTCAATTTCAGTTTTGGGTGGGTCTGCATTTTCAACTGCTTCTACAGGGGTGGGTGTTTCAGGAGGTATTGGCTCTAAATTCAAGTCTTGCTTAGAATCTTCAGGAATTTCATGTTGTGCAGAAGCAAATTCAGATCCAGGGGTCATTGGCTCAGACAAATCAGATTGGGTGGTTGTTTTCTTGGCATACTCTAATCTTAATTTTTCTACAAGATTGAGAGTTTCACGGGCACTGTCTTCTTTTGAATCTTCTTTGAATAAAATGTCATTTGAAAAAGAAAAGGTCAAAGGTTGAGCACGTAGAATTTCATCAGAATTTCGGGGCAAACCAAAACCATCATCATTGACGGTTTCATCTACTGCTAGCATGTCATTTCCAAAATCAAATAGATCAGCTACAGCAGCATCTTTTGGTTGTTGTTGAGGTGAAAATATTGAGCGATGTTGGTAAGATGGAGCTGATAGAGATGAATTTCTTGAGCTTATCTTCTTTGGTTCTGCTTCTGAATCTGCAACTTGGAAGTCACCTGAATGAATGTCATTACTTTTATCTTTTCCAAGATTGGATACAATGTGGTGTCTTGATGTTGAATCATTCTCAAAAGTAGAACCACCTTTTGTAAATTGGGACTCATGTGCATCATGGTTATCTCTTTTAAATTGATGCCTATTAGGTAGTTCTCCATCATACGCTTCTTTTTCGCCTGGTCTTAGATGTTTTAAATTAATATCACTTAGGACAATATCTGCTTGACCTATACAATCATCCACAGAGTAAATGTTAGCACTATCTTTATCTTGGCTGACTTTAATAAATGGAGTATTGGATTTAATATTTTGGATGTGTTCATCATTGATCTCATCAATAGTGTGCCTTTCTTTATTGAGATTTCGAATGTTGTTGTTACTCGCTTCTGCATCAGTAAGTTTTGTAATGGTTGCTATATTATCTGATGTCTTTGTTTCTACTTCATCGATGCAAATTTCTTCTGAACTTGAAGATCCATCAGATTCATCAGAGCTATCTTCATTAGTATCTTTGGAAATATCTTCATTTTGTTTTTGAGATCTCGTAAGTGATCTCTGTTGACCGGTCTTTTCAAATTTATCACTATGGTAGGACTGTGTTACTTGAGAAATATTCAAATGTGCTTTTTCTTCCGCATACTTGTTATCATTATGAGTCCCCAATCTGTCATTATCTCTTTTGACAAAAAGATTGTCTTTTGTTTTCGTTGTGAGCTTTTCAGATGTTTCTGAATTCTTTTTACTTTGTTGATCAGCCAAATCAAGTTTTTTAGCAGCGCTTGGATTGTGTTCATTTCGTAAGCTTACCTTCTTATTAATTTTCTGGCCCTCAGTTGTAATGTATTGGGACTTGTTTTTCTCTTTCCTGCTGATTTCATCACGAGACTCTTCTGATTTCTTTTCCGGACTATGCTCTGTGATGTCACTTGATTTTCTCTCCCTTCTATCTCGCTTGGACTGTTCTTTTTTCTGTGGCGACCGAGAAGTCCTTTCCACTGAAGATTTTTCATCACCTTGGGGTGTATTCGACCTGCTTCGACTTTTAAGACTGGTAACTGTGGTATGGGTTTTGAAAGAAGTATCTCCATGTTTGGCTTCAAGTTGTCTGAGTCTATCACTTGAACTTGATCTAGTCTTCCTATCTTGTGATGTAGGTTTACTTTTGGATCGGGTTGATTCCTCTCTTTCAATAGGCGGCTGCTGAAATTGAAGCTCAGGCCGCCCGTCGGAAGTTTTAAGCTTCTTATCGGGCGTTTTCCTGAGTTTCTTTGAGGCAGCCAACTTTGTAGAGGAATCATCTTTGTTTCTTTGTTGTTCTTGGGGTTTAACCTCAGAGGCCTTTCTTTGCAAGACAGTATCAGCAGATTTCTTTGGAGAGGGTGACAATGTCCTCCTTGTGGGTGACTCATTGTCTGATTCTGAACTAGAAGGGGTTGAAGAACTGCTTTCAGCGGATTGCTGTCCCTTGTCAAGAAAGGGCGTATCCGGTTTTTTGGGTTGAATCTTCTTTTCTGGAGATTTAGATTTTTTATCTTGACTATCTTGTCTGTGAATTTTAACCTGGACAGGTGGCTCAAATAAGCCTTTCTTATCATTTGTCTTTTTTGGACTTAAATCTGTATCCTCACTATCAGAACTTGATGTTGTTGTACAAGAATCAGACGAAGAGCTTCCTGAGGAAGACGATGTTGATACGGAAGATTTGGATGTTCGTCTTCCTTTCTTCTCAGGAGATTTTACTGATTGTTTTTGAGTTCTATCATTTTCAACATCTTTTTTGGTTTTGATAGTGTCTGTTTCTTTCTTATTCTTTAAGGAGTCTGGTGCTTTCCCTTTGTTTTCTATATCTGGATCTGGTGTTGAAGGTTGTTTCTGGGAACCTGGTATTCTTCCACTTTTCATGTGTTCAGCTGCTTTTTTAGCTGCTTGGCGTTGAGGGACATAAGCGAGAATATCAATAGTATCACCAGTTTCTTTATCAAATTCATACACATCATTGTTTAGTTTTGCATCTTTAATATTTTTCAGATCTTTATTGTCTTTGTTTTTATTTTTATTAGTTTTTAATTTAGATTCCTCACTAGGAGACACATCTTTAGGTGGAGAATCTTGGTCTGGGGCAGCAACATCAGGCTTAGTTTTTACTTGGTTACCACGCATACTTTCAGTTGCCTTTTTGGCAGCTTGTCTTTGTGGGACAATCAACTCAGTAGGTGTAGATTCAGTAGAACTCTTTTTCTTGGATACTTTGATATTTTCTTTCTCTCTTTGGTATTCATCTGCAGAACTCTCATCTTTGACGTCATCCTTCTCATTCCTCTGTAATCTCGAACTTGTTTTTTTAGTTCGTTTATTCTTACTCTGCTGACCACCAGCACAAAACTCTTTCATTGCAGCCTTTGTTCGCATCGTAAGTTGTTGTGAGTCACTGGGAGCTGTATCTTCATCAAGAGCGGAGGGTTCAGAATCACTATCAGAATAAATTCCACTGATTTTTTGGGAATCTTTCTTGCTACTAGTTTTAACAGTCATTATTTCATCACTATCATCACTCGGTCCGGACTTATCCGTAAGTTCTTTTTCCATCTGCCTTAGAGATTTGCTCCTAGGCGATTCCCATTTAGCTTTTGATGGTTTGGATTTGGTGCTCACTTCATCTTCAGTGGAAGAGTCAACAGCTGCACGAGACACAGCTCTTTTCTTACTCAATTTCTTTTCTTTGTTCATTAATGAGTTTTTCTTTGAGGTCGTTGCAATGTTCACCTTCGATTTTCTGTCATCACCACTTGAGACCGCACTGTCTATATCCATTCTATGTAGCCTCAACTTGCTGTCGGTTTCACTTCCACTGGACATGCTTCCATACATACTTCTGCGACGTACAACGCCTCCGTTAAAGTACATTTTTTTATAAGGATTATCTGACTTACTCAATTTGACTAACCCATTTAAGTCGAGTTTTCCCTTGTCTTCAGGTGTAGGGGAAGCGATACCAGCGATTCTCGCCAGGACGGTGTCAAAGTCGGTGCTCAGTTCTGGAGCGTTAGCGTGGGAATACATCCTGTCATATATGGAAGGCCCGTGGTTAGCTTCTTTTACAGCTGTCAACTCTGTGCTGCTGAGAGTGTAACTTGGCTCCGTAAGGACTGACACTTGCTTGTGGAATGTCTGTTCTCGGAGCCGGAAGAAAGAGCGGGACAACTTTTCTCGTCTGCTAACCATGTAGCACAGGTTGCGAACCTGAAAATTAATTTAAGTTAGCATTAACTTGGTATAAGGTATAACAAACAAGTAAAAAGTTCATCATACGACTTAAATTTATAATTGAATTAATTTTTAGTTGAAATTAAATAACAAATAATGTTAATTTAGTTAATCTTTTTTCAGGCAGTTTCTAGTACCATGAACTAACCATTTTACCATATTAGTATAGATTGTACATGTACGTGGTATAGAGAGGATAAACAAAGTGTAGAGTAGAGAATGGATTGTGATGAATTAGTAATTAAATAATGGATTTTGGTTCACCATTAATGGAATCAGAATTCTTGATATCAACAACTTATTAGGTAGCTTGAAATATCTTCAAAGTTAACACTGTGTTTTTATAAGACATGTTTTTAGGTTAGGTATTAGTATAATCTCTTGTTATCATTCTCTCTACTTAATGTTTTTAGTATATGAATTTTTTATTTTACACGAAAATCCCCTGTATTCCACCATTGACTATTGATAGAACAAAACATTACAATCCATTTATGTTAAAGTTGTAGCTAGTTTATAAAGAAAAAATTAACATTTTTAAGTAAGCTATTGAAAGAGTGGGCTGGCGTAAATTACTGATTGCTGTCGAATAAGCCAAATTGATTTTAACCAAGCCAAAGTGTAAGGACAATTATTGACAATCAATAAAAACTAAGAGTGAAAATAGAATTTTCACACCTAGTACACGGCGACTGGCTCATTAAATATTATCTATTAGGTAGAGATGTGCGAGCACAGGTTTTTCAGGTGGAGTCAAGTTCGAGTCGAGTAATTGGCAAAAGATTTGATTCTCGAGTTTGAGTCGAGTTTAAACCAAAAAGACCAAAGGATGTGTAAGTTTAATTAACTCCTAAGGCCTAGAGCATGTAACTTGTAAAACAACCTTGTTACAAGCTGAAGTACGATTGTAAATTAATTAATTATTAATATTTGTGCAGTAACTTATCAATATAATGCATAGAAAATAATTTTAAAACAACAACAATAGAGCTCATAAATGAACTTCTACTTCTGTGAAAAATAGGTAAGTGAGCATATATTTATTTATCTAAAAATTAAATACATTAATCCCTATTGATAAGTAATATTGCATAATACTTGGCTAAAATTACTTAATACTTAGCATATATTAGTTATTAAGGTTGCAATTACAATATAAAGTTTAATAAAGAGATTTATTCTAAAACTTTACCTTTTATTTCCGACCTTTTCACCTTTAGTTTTGTAAGTTTATTACCATTATTCTTAGTTGGTGTGGTTTTTTTAACAGTAGGCCTACAAAATTTCCAATGGTTTGACAGTGGGTAAAAGAAAAATAAATTTTTTAATCTTGTATCTTAATTGTAAACAAACATTCTGTCAAAATGTATGTTAAAAATAAAGTACTTAAATAGGCCTACAAGTAGCCTACCTTACTGTTAAACAAAACAATTAATTATTGTAGATTGAAAATTGTACTGAATAATGTAATAGGCTCATACAATAGTAGTTATAGAAATCAAAAGAAACCTAGACTTAGGCCTAACTCACTATAATAAATTGTATTCCATGCACATTAGAACCCCAAGAAAAAATGGAAGACCGAGAAAATTATAATGATGTTTTTGTGCTGTTTTCTTTAAATCCCTTATTAGGAGTGCTACTATTGTCTTTATGAATGATTTTATACTTATTTATGAATTATCTAATGTTTTACAAGTTTACAGAATAATTATTTTCAACCACGGGAACATCAATTTATAATTATCAACTTATAACAGATGTGTTATTAAGGTCAATGACCCAAAACATTATGATTGCGCAATGTTGTATTTTGACATAAAAATGCAAATCATGGTATTAACTCTAATTGAATAATATTTCTCCTGGTCCCTTGCAGATTGTATTATCAATTCTAAATAATCGTGGTTAATTCAAATTATATTTTTGATGATTCAAATCGACTTTTTTAACCATAGATTTATTGCTTACCTAACAGTTCAGTAGCGGAATTTTCTATTGTGGAACAGTACTTTAAAACAAAATCACTACCGATCATGTCATTCTGTGTCAAGTCCAGATTATGCCATTGCCAGTCAGTCGCCGGCGACTGATTGGAGTTGACCTAGTCTGTCGTGACAGCTATAAAAATAGGTTAGGACAACTACCTCTTGCTTATTTCTACACTGTATATTTGTACTATTGTAGAATCTACAGTAATACAAATTAATTATAAAGCATTTTATGTAAACACAAGTTACATTTTAACAAATATCGATTTTTTACAATTTTAAACCAAACTCGACTCGAAACTGCCGAGTTCAAAGATAAGCTCGAGTTTCAAGGCCGTACTCGACTCAAACTCGAAATCTCGAGTACTCGCACATCTCTACTCTTAGGATAAAAGTTTGATACAGCTCAGTATCAAAAAATAATTAAAAAAGACTACAAAACTGCCAAAAGGAATAAATGACATAGTAGCTGTTATTCAATGTAAAACCTTCCCAAATTAAACTAGGATCAAGATAATGGGGTTCAAACTGAAATAACCAATGACAGACGACATACCCTCTCCAAATCCTGTCGCAGCTGTACGAACATTCTCATCTTCTCCACATCCGCTTGCTCCTGCTGTTTAGTGAGAAGGTCTACGTCCTCTGAGCGAGGTGCCAACAGTGGCTTGTTGTAGCCGGCGCGTCGCTTCAACACCCAGTAGTTATAGATTGCGACCACCCCCTCCTGATCTACCTCGTCGCGAGCATGTGTCACATCCGTCACGTTCACGTGCTTCTGGAACTCAGCTTCGATCTCTTGCAGCCTGCAAACAGTGATCATGTCAATGAGATTCATACGCTTAAAAATATCTCTTTGCTATACCGGCATGAACCCTTATAGATGAAACATGAGCCCAGAAGAAAAGTAGCTGAGGGTCTTTGAAAGAAAAATTATAAAGCATATATGTATATTATTTGAGCGACTATTGCATAGGCCTACAATGAGAGATTATTGAATATGTTTTCTGTCATGATCAGTAAAAGGGTCCTCAAAAAGTTTCAGGATTTGAAATCGGTCAATGAACAAACTTATTGTCACAGCTGCCAACAGTGTGTCTTTTATTAGTATGAAATATTTCATTATACTTTATTGGGACATAGAATAACATTAACAAAATTTTCTGCTGTGACATTATTTATTTAAAATTGCTCAGGAAGGTCCTCGAATATTGTTCAAAACCCAAATTTCTGTGTGGCAGGTACTCTGACATTCTGTAATGCAGTCTGGCCAGGTTAGCTAGGGTCCCAGAGCTGTAGAAGACCCTCAAATGACTTCTAAAATTTGGAATAATTTTTCTAACCAACAAGAAAAGATGACAATAATTTCACTGTGATTCAGCCGATGTTCTTGACTTCGAAGGTATGGTGAGTGATGATGTCTCTATGATAATAGAAGATAATAACAATAGTATCACGATCACAGATTACACACTCACGGATCACAGATTTATGACAAAGAAAAGTGCCATAAAGACGGAAATTTGTATTTTCAAATTTCCATATGCAATGATTTTTACTCAACCCGTCTTGAGCTATTATTGTACAATCTTGTCCATCCCTATTGAAAATAATAAAAACACGATTGAGGTCAACTCTAAATCAAGAGCATAGGTCTAATCAACTTTTTTATAAACATAGATATGGAATTATTTTGACCTTATTGGAGACATAGAAGTTGCTAAGACCAGCACAGAACTGACTATTAAGCTAGTAAATTCTAGTATCTAGAATTTTTAATTGTAGAATAAAGGGTTACAGCAGCTAGCTTACTTTAGAAGAAGTACAAGGCCATAGAACACAAAGAAGATTAAAATACCCCCGCCGCAGCAAACCTGCCGTCTAAGCAAATTTCCATTTGGCCGAATTGATTTTCAATTGATCTATTTAAATAACATTAGGTTTAACGAGTACCTAGGTTTGCTGCTACAAGGAAACTAATAAAGTAGTGTGTTTTTAGTAAAATATTGATAGCTTACTATAAAATAAATAAATTTGCCAAGTTTGATCAAAATATATCCATAAACAAGCAAACTACAACATTTTACAATATTCTCCATAAGAATAACATGGGAATTTTAAATTTACCATTTTTTTAGTTTTCTCCGTAACCAATAACCGTACAAAAACACTTTGATATACTGAATTGTTTGTTTTTTAAGCTCTTTAAGAAGGATTAGAGAAAAATTGGGAAATTTTGTGTTTTGAGGGTAAGAAGTGAGAAAAACCAATTTTTACCCCATAAAACCTCCCATAAACCCCTGTTCCCATGGTCCGATCATGCTGGATCGCGAACTCATTCAAGTTTATCCCGCCTTACACCTTCAAACCAAATTTCATCAAAATCGGATAAAAATTACTCAAGTTATCGTGTTCACGGACACACATATATATATATATATACATATATAAAAATTTGAACGAATGATGTTTTTGGCCTCTGGGGACATTAAAATGAAAAAGTAAATCGGTCCCGGGCCTAAGTCTTACCATGAGACCTACGGTAATAGCTACTTCCCTATAGGGAAATTCGCTAAAACACAATATTTCGTCCACAGGGGGGACTTTCACAAGTGTAAAAAGTGTGGGTGTGTTGCTAGCCTAGTGGTTAGCGTCTTGGACTTCGGTGCGGGAGGGACGGGTTCAATCCCTAGCACACCCACAAAACTTCAATGGGTTTTGACAACTTTCCCTTAAAAACGTTTAATCTCACATTGACTTGAAATCAAAATGCCACTGGCGTAGGGGAAAAAGTGTAAAGAAAGATCACAAAAACTGAATCAATTTGTGTAAACTTTCTTTCTCTACACCATATACTGTACTTACTTTGCAGCTCTTGCTTGATTCTTTTCTTCAGATGTCATGTCTTTCCTCTTTTTCTTCTTACACTCTTCGTCTTCAGAGGCTGAACCACTTTTGTCCTTTTTACTACTACTGACACTGTGTTTTTGACAGTAAGACTGAAAAAAGAATTTGTAATTGTGATTAACTTATAATAGTTTATGCAGAATGGCCAAATAAAAGTAGACATTGATAGAAGCTATACTTCTCATTGGGCCTTGAAAACTATATTCATGCATACTTTTAAATCCTCAAGTAAGTTAAAACTTGGATGTAGAATTATTCACAAAAAATTAAATTTTTAGTATTTATTAGAAAATAAAGAAAATATTAACTACTTTTGAATTTTTTTAAAATTACAGTGGGTTTATTTAAGCATTAGATGCACGTTTTCTTGTCCATTTTAATCAATGTTACCGTACTCTTAAGTTGACCCAACTCTCAGGTATATTTATCTGGTCTAGGAGAGATAAAAATAATCTGTATCCTTGTCTATCCATCCACACTCAAGTTAAAACAAATTTTTATAACTGAGAAAAGTAAAAGACCAGGATATTATACAGGGTGAGTTTAATTGTCCCCCCCCCCAACTTTTTTCTACATTTTTTCAAATATCAATCCCAGACCACTTCCAAACATTGTTGGGTAGTAAGTACTTCATTTTGACAAGGTGGTCATTTCCGGCCGCCATATTGGATCCGCCATATTGGATGCAAAATATTTTTTTTCAAATGTAAAGGTGGGGTTGTGACCCATTATTTCGAACTAGATTTTTACTCTGATTACAATGCCGCAAACCGTTTTTAAAAATCTTGATTCATTCAAAAGTTATGGGGCCTTTTTAAAACTTTATTTTTAGCCCATTTTAACATTGTGCATTTACAAACTAAGACCATAATCTCAAAATAGTGCTAGATAAAGATAAGTATACACTACCAGTCATTGCCAACCTATTTCCAATATGGCGGATCCAAGATGGCGGCCGGAAATGACCACCTTGTCAAAATGAAGTACTTACTACCCAACAATGTTTGGAAGTGGTCTGGGATTGATATTTGAAAAAATGTAGAAAAAAGTTGGGGGGGGGACAATTAAAACTCACCCTGTATAATATTATGATTGGCCAACAGAACTGTTTTAAATTTAAAGTACGTACCAAAATTTCCTTCCTACATAGGAACTGTGGCTGATGGTCTCCGCTCAACCAATTAAAGTAATACTAGAACCATACCTAGTGATCATTAATATTAAGTAACATGTTTTTGTTGGTTTAATGTGCTTTTCTTGTGTGAATCGCTTGAATCCCAAGAAAGTTAACTTCAAGTCCCTGAATAACTAGGCCTATATAGACAATGGCTTTATGGAAGCAAAAATCCTGGTCATCCATTTTGATGATGAGTTAGAGCTGTGACACAAATGTTGGTGCATACTTAAAAACAGAATGGTAAAAAATACATTTTCCTGTTTCAACTATTCAAATTTATGCGAATAATAAACTTACTAATTTACTGGGAGAATATAAAGGCTACTTACTCTTAACTTGACGCCGTCGTCAGCATTCTCGTCCTCAATGATCGCTCTCATCTCGAGGCCGTGTTTGAAGGCGCAGGTCACATGGTAGGCTGTCTTGCAGGTCTTGACTGAACACTGTATACAAGCTCCGACACGTTCCCGACACAGCACACATATCAGGGCCCACCGACTTTGCTGTAACCCACACATCACTATGATGTTTATATGTCTCAGGTAAGCCTGCTTTCCTGTCAATTTTCTAAACAATTCCTGGCAAGAGCCCTATCTTGTAATCAGACTACTAAACATTGGCCTGTTTTTTACAATGCTGTTGTTTTTAATTTAATAGGAAACCGTTTCCTAGAAAAACAAAAGATACTCTGAATGTATAGATGGATACTCTGGATGTTCCTCATCGAATAAAAATAGTAATTGATGATTTTTTTTGTCAGGCAAAATAATCACGTTTTTAACATGACTAGAAAATAGGGATGATTGGGACTATAATGTCAGTTCATAGGACAGTACAGGACAAGATTTGTTCATCATCTCAATTCTTGTAATAATAATTTTTCTAATAACACATTGTTTTCTGAAGGAATTGAATCCAGTGAAACACAAAAATATACTAATAACTTATATTTTGAACACAGAATTAATAGCAACAAAAACTGAGCAAAAAACTAAAAACTATAGCAAGAAATTATTATTATTAACAAGCACAATAATTTTATCGGAAAAATCAAGATGGCAGTTGTCTGCTACTACTTCACAATTATAATAATACAGCAGTGTAAGACAAAACTACACGCCGTTGTGAAATCCCCGTTAATTTTTTGTGTAGGTTAGTTGTGTATCCATTCTTCCATAGTGTATTATTAAGCCAAGTACTTTCTCAATACTCAGCGATAACAGTGAAACTTAACCACTCACCGGTATACTGGAGATTTTGGTGATGGGTTCCATCCGCTCGACACATCCGATGCTGACCTCTGGGATCCACAATGCGCAGGACACGTGAGCCCACTTGTGGCCAGACCGGGTACACTTCATGGCTCCTCCCTTGTTGGGACACAACACACACTCGGGCCGCAGTCCCAGCGCGCACGTCCTACAGTGCCACGAGCCCGCGGGGATAGCAGTGATGCCGTAGCAGGCCTGGTGTACGCAGATGTTGCAACAGTCGCAGAATACCATCTCGTTGCCTTCCTCAGAGTCCGGCTGTAACAAGTACGGACGTTTTTGATTGTTTGTGGGGTTGATTTAGATATGTTGAATTATATTGGAAAAGCTATGTGGCTAATTAAAAATCTTTTAAAGGGTTAAAGTTATGCTAGAGAAGCATTGTGTCTAAATTTTTATGTGATTGGCCACACTGAAGATTGTATTAGTTGCAACTTCAACCAGAAATTTCTCTTCAATAGAAGAAGTCCAAAAATTAAGAAAGAATATCAGTGATATTTAGTCTTTAAATAACCTAAATTACAAGTACAGAGTCAAAAGTACTCTTAACATAAGAGAGTGTTAAGTATAAGTACTTAAGGGAGAAAATAAGCTCATAAGTTGGCAGCCCTGCCTCCTTTACTCCATTACAAAACTGCTGGATATGTATTGTAGCTGTAATAATTTAACATATTGTTTTTGTAAATTTGAAGATGAGGTAGGTAGATAGTATGGTAATAAACTGGAATTAAATAATTTTTTTATGCCAAAAAGGTTTGTAATTGAGTTTTCGAGATACCAGTAGGCCTACTGTTAGTACCTAACAAATCATCTACAGGTTGTATGAAATGGTAAGATCAAGAATACAATACTTGGGCCTATTTTCCCATGAATATAAATTAATCTTGAACATTGGTTATGTCTTGTTCACAATCACAATAGGCTAAAATAAATGCAATAGGCCTAAGCTGATTGGTTATGGAGTAAAGGAAGCAGGACTGCCAACTTATTAGCTTGAGTTATTTCTATATAATTTTCTCCTAGCTAAACTAGAGGAAATCTAATCTCTTTGGAACCAGGCATCAGTTCACCAGGTTTTAATAATATATTTAGGAGGTTTTAGTAACCCAATTTGTTTGAAATCAGTGATGTTCAGATTTTTGAGTATGGATATAATTAGACATCATGTTCCTTTGACATAAGTTGTAACGAGTTTCAAATGCAAATGAGCGTAGTTGGATTGAGCCAAGCACGCTGATGTCAACCACTGACTACACATACACTGACTTTTTCCTAGAGCTAAACTAAAAGGATATTGAAGGCAACTGTAAAATATAGCACCTTTTATATCTCATCGTAGAAAAAATCTAAATGGCAAATGAGACACTCAAATGATAAATTGGCTACAACTGGACATTGTAAATTGGATGTTTGTTTGGATACTGTACACAAAGTCAATGCCTTTGGAGTCCAATCTTCCAACAGTGGTATTTCAAATGAACTAACGACAAAGAAATTGGGGGCTTAACAATTGGGTATAATTTTCAGAACACAATATTAAAAACAGAATAAAATTATAAAGTAAAACAGATGTTACTTACAGAACGACAGACATCACAGATGACGTTTTCATCAAACTCAATGCCAAGGCCCTCTTCCTGCTTGACGATGGTTTGGACTTTGTCCCAACATCTGATCTCCAACTCTTCAACCACCCTCTCCAACTGATCTTCTCGGATTGGCTGAAGACCTGTACAAAGAGTCAATTACTTACTTTGTTTGATTTCATAACTCAATCTTACAGATTCTATTTCAAGTTGTTAAAACACCTGTCCAAAAATTAAACAGCATGTTAACTCTTTGCAAGGTACATGAGAAACATTAAGTGAATTTGTTGAAGTTTAACAGGTGGTCTCCTTTTTCTGTCGCCAAATGCTGTGCGCCCCATTTGACAGACAAATACGTGACCTCAGACTCTCATGAGCCACCATCTTGTGCAAAAGTATATTAATTGTGTTTGCCTTACAACTGATAAATCGAACTTAATAGTAGTTTTTTAGGATTTGTTGTTTCTTGGTTTTTTTAGTTCTCTGTGTGTGGTGTTTCCTTTGTGATTTATGAGCTTTTGACTGGGTTTGTGAGTCTTGTTATCATAAGGTACTTTCTCATCTGAACACGAGATCAGATTTCCGATTAGAAATTGTCATGGAAACTTGTTTTGACTAAGGTTATGGAAAATTTGCACACCTCAAATACCATTTAAACTTATCATCACTCAAAATAAACTTAAAGCTAAGTAATTTTTTAACACAAACTAAGTAGGCCTAACTAACACTTAAACCATCTAGTGAAACCTAGATAAATTATTGATTTTACAGTACGTATAACATTGTACGTATAATACGTAGGTCTGCTTATAATTCAATTGTGAACTTACCCATTGAGGCCCGCTCTCCGTTCAATATCCCAAGCCACGCAATATCACATTCGTCAAGATCGTAAGAACAAGCTTTCTCGGCTTTTGCTGGCATGTTGGAGAGATGGTGTTCGTCGAATCGGAAGCTTTCATCTTTTGTGATGCGGATGTACTTGTTTTTAGGCCTAAAACAACAATAGTGTTGACATTTCTAAGCAGATTACCTAATGAAGTTATAACATATTGAAAAGTGTTTACCCCAACAAAAGGCTAATAAAGTTATCATGGTTACTGATTGCCCAACCACAAACTGTTGTGACATAGCAAGCACACAGCAGACAGATGTGTAAGGGGCAGACGATTGTCAGTGCAAGCGGATAGTTTGATCTTGAAGCTAACAATCTATATTATTTCTTTGTCTTCCAATTTATTTTTGTCAAATGAACTGTGTTGTTTCAAAAGCAATAATATGGGAGCCTGCTGAAAAAAATAATAATTGGCCACTAGTTTAAAGAAACATATTTCATCAAATGATCGTGGACATTGAGGTTATGTAACCTAATTTTAGAGGCATCTATTAACGACCACGGTTGATTCGCCTCCCGGTTGATCCACACCCGGTTAATTGAGGTTCTACTGTATGTTTATTTGACATGGACTTTTTGAATACTCACAGACGGAAGTCGTTGAACCCTCGGTGATGCTGGCTGATTACGGTGACGGAAGGGCCAGGTAGAGAGTCTGGGTTGACGGGAACCTGCACGCCACGCTCCCACTCCTGCTTCCACTGGTCCGAGATGGTCCAGTATTCATCAGCCCCCAGTGGCTCCGAGTCTGGCAGCTTCATGGCACTGATCAGATCTTTTCTGAACAGCTGCAACAACAACACAGATTGGATCCGGTTCCGACTAAAACTGAGTGCCAGGTAGAAATGGGTTGCTAGAAAGTGAACGGTTGTAACGGTTGAACGGTTGTAAGAACTAATTCTGCTACGGATCAATAAATTGATCTGAGTGATTTCTTTCAACAGGGGCTGAAAGAACTGACTAGACATTCAAAATCAGTTACTCCAAAATAAACTAATCTAAATGTTACCAAAACCATTGGCAATGAAAATGTCTTTTGACTGAAACCAAAGTCAAACAAACTTTGAGGTACTGCTCAGATACTTTTTCAGGGCTTTTTGAAGGGCTGATGTACTTTTTCATCAGCCCAGAAACAAGTACTTGCTCTTCAAAGTTTAAATTTAAGAGATAATACCTGGAAGTAAACAACAACAAAAGACACTGACTAACATGGCAAACTGGGTAATGCAAAGAAATAGCAGGCTATAGGATGATTATTTCAGTGTAAGATGATTAAGTTGTTGTCACTATCGTCAGCTGATAGAGTGGTGCAATCATGGACACCAATTGTCCCACCATCTTCAAGGGGAAGACAGAATGCAAGCTTACTAAAGACTGGATAAAATAAATGATTTATTTTGACTCAACAAAATTATTACAAACTACCTTAAAAGTGGCTGAATTAACCCTAGAAAGGTATCGTCCTACAGCATGACGCTAAGGGCATCAATACGAAAATTTGACGTACATAGGAATTCCATACAGTAAGGCATCATCATACAGTGTTACGCTAAAAATTTGACGTACTGCCGGTCATTTTATTATACACAAAGCGTATTGACACGTAAGTTTGACGTATGCGTTCCAAGGAACCGATTCGCAAGGAAATTAAGAGACACACTACGACCCAACCAAGCAGCCACCACAAAGCAAATGACAGCTGAGAGCACTGCAGTAAGGAAGGTAGCGTCGGTTGAGGGCGTGAGGGTGGGATGCTAAAAATATCTCACCCTACATCAAATTTACGTGTGATACGCATCTAGGGTTAATATGTTTATGTCCAATGGTTAAATGTTGGGGTACTCATGATTTTGACGAATCATATTGCATTTGATCTGTAACCACCGTGACAAATGGCAACGGCAACACTGCACAAGACCACTATTTCAAATTTCAAGTTAACGGGTAAAATTTATATATTGATGGATGTGACTACATGGCTACATGACAAACAGCCAAGCCTTCATTCAGCAAACCAAAAAGGGCTTTTATTTGTTATTGTTTGTATATTCAGTGGTTCGTACCAATTATGTTTTTGTCTTTCTCTTTCTTGAACGAGGTGAGACAGTTTAAATGTAGTTTAGCTTTGTTCGTCGTCTATCTAGTTTCTTCGATATTTAAGAATGGGCTTTGCTTTAGTCGGATTTCTCTAATAAAATTTACATGTTGATGTGAATAATTAAACTTGTTTTGTCTGTAAATAATAAGTGGATTAGTTTTTACAAGAATGTAAAAGTAGGCCTATCATAAGTTGTTGTTTTTATGTAATAAATTTTGATAAATTCTTGATAATGTCTTCTTAAGTTTTGAAGTACTATTTTAAAACTGATGAAGCAAACAACAGATTTCCAAAATAAAACATATTATTTAATAGGCTTATCTCTAAAAGCACTTTTAACCCAAACCCACAATAAGGTACGAGGCTTACAAAAAAACCATCACAGTCTCCAAACTAAGTCTGTATTAAATCTTTTTTTCAACAAGCCTGCACCTTATTTTGAACCTAACAGGCAGTTAACTTAGTTTAACAAATTTCCAGGGTCCCTTTTCTATCCAAGGTTAGTAGCCTATGTTTAATTAATCTGTTTAACAGTGAATCATTTAAACAAATAGGCCTATATTAAACACTTCTTGGTATGTATTGTTTTGGTTTGAATGTGTTTGGTTGTCAGTGTTTTTTTTTTTTACAAATAGGCCTAAGTTTTATTTTCTTAATTCCTCAATATAACCTAGCTACACTAATGAAAAATAATCAGTTTTAAAAATTGAGATAGGGATATTTTGTTTTTAAAATTAAACAATTAAGTAGGCCTAGCCTAATTTAAAATGAGGTACTGATGGAATTGAGAAACGATTTTGGTTAGGAACCGGTACCGGAACCGACATTGAAAAAGTGGTACCGACCCATCATTATAAAAAATCAAACCAATTGGAAAACTAGCTAGGCAACGGGAACTATGTGCAGTGGCACAGCTTGGCCAAAGGAATGTAAGGTAGCGGACAACACATATGTTAAATTTTAAGAGATAAAATTGAGAAAACAGTACATTTAATTATTTAAGAAAAGAAATAGATTTGTTTTATACAGCTGTCAATAAAAAAAAAACAACTGGTGTAGATCTCATTGAATCAAAATAGCCATAAAATTGTAACTATTGACAGTCTTAGGTTACGATATCAAAAAGCCTCATCTTCTTCATTTACGTTAGGCCTAATCAAGGTTTTACTTTACTTCCACACAAACTTTACTACTTTTGGTCAAAATGCAATTTTTAATCAGCATTTTACTTTGGTTTTTTAACAATATCGTTGTGCAGGTTTGGTTAGGTTACCTCGGCTGGAGCCTCGGTGGCACTGCGGTTGTAGATGCTGGATATCTTGAGGTCGTTGTTGGGCTTAGGAGTCCAGCCAGGGTCCATGGAGGACGCCTCCTCCTCCTCCACCACCGGCGGACGCCCCTTGCGCCTCTTGGTAGGCACTGATCAACAAATAAATCAGTTTGAGGTTAACAATATAAGCATAAAGCACAAGGGCCTAGGTTGTTAGCCTATTTGTGCAGCTATAAGCCTTACCTAAATAGGAAAGAGTAAGATAAATAAAAAACTTAACAATACAAACAAAAATTAGAATATTCTACAGTCACTTCAGTATTTTTATTTTTTTCACTTTTGGGCAAACTTCTATTACATACTAACAAGTAATTTTATTTAGAACTAGCTGTGTGCCCGTTCTACGCACGGGGATCTTATAGTAGTCAGTTGAAACCTTCTTATATTAAGATTAAGAACAGCAGTTAGTTTGCACATTTGCAGATATGCTGGCAAAACTATTATATACAAACCTTCGCAAATACAGTATCTGACAGTTCAAGCCAAAATAAATGCTTCGCAATTAAATTTCACCCGGATCGTTATGGTCCATATGTCCAATGATTAAACTAAAAAATGTTTTATAGATCCATGAAGCGTAGCCCTAAAGTAGGCCTATAATTGAAAGTTACTTTCCACATCGGTTAACTTAAACGTATTTAAAGTACTACCTCAACCTCACCATAACACTTTATTCCGGTTGACATTTTCAGTACTGTATCAAAGGTGCTCTTGTCCATTCCGTGAAACACTGAGGAATAAGGACATTAATGCGTTACCAACAGACATACACACAACAATCCAAAAAAGGCCACGAACTATTGATACATAAACAATATAAAGGTGTAAACAATTCATGATGGTTTGCCCAACAAATGTTTTACTCAAATAGGTTATCATTTTCTTAGCATACCGGGTAAGCTAAGATTTGGAATCCAGACGGACATCACTTAAATTGAATACGGACGGCTCTAATAAATAAGGTGCAACACCAACGATAACTAATTTGTAAACTACAGTGATGTGTTGGTACCTACGTAAAAATGATTCTAGCAGCTACCAACGGTTCTAAGGAAAAGAACCAGTACCTACATAAGAACCTACCTAAGAACTATAGTACATCCGACCAATTAAATACATTAATATCTAGTCCCGAGGTTATTGATCTCTTGCTTTTGGATTTTCTCGTAAAAAGTTATAGCGTAAACTTATCGGTGTCAGTTTGAAAAAAAAAACAACCTTACCCAAACAACTTTTTGTTATTTAATAGATTACGCATTCTCTAAACAGTGATTAGTATATCTATTAACATTGGAAGGAAATGTGACGAAAATCACACAATGTTGGGGTTTTGGTCATTTGTAATTATATTTCTTAAGTAGGTAGGCCATGTATTCTATGGAAAAGTACCGGTATCAAGGATCGTCGTCAAAAAGGTTGTTATGAATAAATATGTAGGCTTACGTACCCAAGATATGAGCTATGGGCCTATTGGCTGTATGGTCCAGCGATTGCATCACACGGTGAGTAGAAACAGAAAGTGACACATTGGAAAAGCGAGTTTAGCACTTCCTCTGTTAAACCTCTGTTACAATCACCCACTGCAGTGTGATTTTTTACTTTACACTTTACACAACCGCCATTGAAGCGCCGTCAATGAGTGGAAACCTTTTTTGTAAGCTATTGGCGACGATCATTTCAGTGTCCCAGCCCTATACAACACTGATTCAAGGTCTTCTTTCTGGTTGTCAAAACTCAAGAAACATTTTATACTCAAAGAATTTCTGGTTCCGATTTGGACGATGTCTAGTTATTTAATTTCATTTACGGTTACACTATTAGACTATATTATTGCACTTGCGATTAATTAAATCCGTTATGTAAGAAAAAACGTTTTTAATCTCACTTGGTTGGGATTTGCTTTCAAAACGTGATTCGAAATGATTGCGGTATTTGTAAACAACATTTGTAAACATATCATTGACAGCTAGAAAAAAATAATCTTGATCCGAACAGCTGTTCGTTATTTCATAGACGATTATGTGATAAAAATTGAACGAAAATTTGACAAAAATCGCACAAAACTGCATTTTTGAACGTCCGTAATTTTATTTACAAAGTAGTGAGGCTATATTTAAATCACTAAAGACACTCTCGCCAATCCAGTGAATACATTCAAATGACTTGGATCTTGATAGGTACTCTGGTTTTCACGGAGAAGATTGCGTAAAATGCCATCTTGAGTGTTACAGACAAAGGGAAAGACAGACAGACAGACAGGCAGACAGACAGAAATAGAGATAAGACTCGTTTCTGCTTCTTTAATGAATAAAACGTAAAAATAACCTAAAAGTATATAATTCTGAGCAAAGTACAGACAAAACTCTAATTTTATTTATATAGAAGAAACATAGCAAAAGCATATTGCACAACCAATTGACACATTGGTTAACAAGCAGAAATCAAAAATATCCTGGTGTCTCATTATTGGATTACTATAGGTCGGCCGGACAGATAGCGACCTGCGTGAGGATTTATCGTGCATGTAAGAGGAGTTCCCTTTCTAAGCGGCCGATCTACAAGGCTAAAATATTTCCTAAAATTGTCAGATGTATTTCCTATTTAAAATAAAATTAGATTTAACGAATACTTAGGTTTGCTGCTACAAGGAAGGAAAACATGTTTTTTATGAAGACTAGTTGCTCTGCCCGTGCTTTGCTACGGGGTGAGAATGCAAAAAAGAACAATACCTTTTAAGATACTATAATCTACTATAAGAAACAGTTACAACACACTTACCAGGAAACATATATGCAAAGGCTTAATCGTGCTTATTGATTACCGGTATTTAAATGAAGATCTCTTAATGTATTACAGTACTATCATTTTATAGAGTGTATAGCATTTAAAATATATTCAAAAGTATAATTCATTGACTACATGGCACCATGAAACAATTCTCGTCTTCTCCAAAGGTTTGCTGCAGTATCGCAGTTCCACCCATTGCGTCATTTTGCTTAGCAGAAAACACAACAAACACTGTGTACATATTTTCACGTTAAGCAGACGACAACGAACTAGGTAACGTGACTTGCTTTACTGCCTCGATCCACGCACCAGGGTGCAGCTCAATGCGGTTTTGTGATTACTAGATTAAGAGTAAGGTCGGATATTTTTTTTAACAGACCTGGTATATATATACACATTTCAGCGAATAGTGTATTTGGCCTCTAGGGAAGTAAATCGGTCCCTGGTTCAGGTCTTACTGTGCCACAAATGGTAAATACTGTAGCTTCATTCCTATAGGGAAACTAGCTGGAAGGCATTGAATTTTGTTTAGACATTAAGTTAAATAGCCTACAGTTTTTATAGCCTACTGGGAATGGTTTTTTCTCAACAGACTTTGAGTCTTGAATATAATCATCAATTATTAATAGCTTACTGACAAATCTTGACCACAGTAAATCCCTCTCAGGATAAACCTGGTAACCTTCCCTCAAATGGACAATCACACTAACCGCACTGCTGCCAACTGCCTGGATGTAATTTTTATGATTAAAATTGAATGATCAAGGATATTTTTGTGTACTCTGATAGAATGTTTAAAGGAATTAGTTATCGAGTGGTTGGGTCAAATACAATACAAGGCTCAAGTGAATTCAGATGTATCAAAGCATAAAGGTAACCTCTTTATAGCCTAGATGCTTGGTGTAGCACTGGATCAACTTTTCTTTACAAATGTCATAAATCTGGAAAAGCCTACAAAACCAAGTAAGCTAGAGGCTATCTACTAGCAATAATATCATTAAAATCCATCCAAACAAATTTCTGTGAATCTCAGCCGATCTAGTTCTCATCAAAATAACCATGAATATCATAAAAATTGTTAGCCTACATAAAATTTCCATAATTTAATAAATTAAATATTATCATTAGCCTAGTTTTTTTTTTATTTTTAAGCGCAATAAATTGTTGTGGTTGGAATGGTAACTATGCCGTTGTTATGCTAACTCATCAGACATTACAATATACAAGGCTGACGTATCATTCAAGTTAAGGATTTGATTGAATCGCTTTGCTTCTGTGTTATGTAGCCTTCACTTCCACAACCAACCCACTATAATACAAATATCTTAACCCCCTCCCAACCAGTCTCATGTATCATTACTGTATGAGGCATGAATAAAGTTATACTAACACTTAACCCCATGCTTAAAACTTCTTTAGGCCTATCACTTACTCATTGAAAATAGGCTATAAGATATAAAAATACATGAACAAGAGTACAATTTTGATTGTACACTCAATTCATTAGAGCTAATCTGAGATTTTCTTGCCTTATACCGACCCTAACTTTGCTTGTCTAAATGTAAATGCTTAAACTTAGTCAAATATACTTGAACGCTGCCAGTTTGATCGCGAGAAAAGTTTAAAAGGCCTAATTAATGTTTGAATAATTGGATCAAACTGACCCTAAATATCTTAAGTAGGGCCTACTATCTTAACCCCTAAAGTTAAAGTAAATTCATTTTTATTTTGAACAGTTATGTTTATCCATAGACAAAACATAGTCCCTTAGTAGATTTCCCATTATTATAGAACAGCTGAAGTCAATTTTATTGTTAGTTCTGTCCGGTTTTTTGTGAATGTTGTGTTTTGTTTACAATTTATTTATATTATTTTAGGGTTAGTTTCTCATTATTTGTTTATCACTGTTTGGTTATATATAGCTAGTGGACAAGTTATTGTTTATGATTAGATAGTTTTATTCGGTTAAACGAGGTTTTAAATTACTGAAATAACAAGAAACAAATTTAAGCAAAACACGACATCTACAGAAAACCGGACAGAACTAACAATAAAATTGGCTTCAGCTGTTTTATAAGGATGGGAAATCTACTAAGGGACTATGTTTTATCTAGATGGTTTATCTCCAGATTTCCTACATTCACCCCTCTTTGCCTTAAACAAATCACAAAGGTTGGCCTATATCAGCTTCTAAATACTAGAACCAAATTTGAAAGTTCAAACAAATTAAATACAAATCCTCTGCAAACAAAGTTGATTTGAGAAATAACAGACGCATAATCTGAAAAATTAACTCAGGGCCTAAACAGATTCCAAATCTCTAACCTAGCTCTCACTCTGGTTTACATGTTTAAGTTGTATACTAAAAGTGTTAAGTGGTGAACATTACCTGGACAATCATCACTGCGATTGACCTGACGTTTGGATCGATGTGACATTATGATTTTTAAGCTTTAAAAGAACCCCCGTCTTCTGCAGCTTTGCAGCCTGTAACAACAAATCAAACAATATAGTCACATTCAAAATCATCTAACTTACATGCTAAAATAAAACTAAATACTGTATGTTCCTAGCTGAAGCCAGTTTGCAAGACTGCACGTAGACACGTGTTATGTAAATTATGTCAGGGTAAGCCTTAAAACAGTCTTAAGTTATCAAGAACAAACTTAGCATGTACCGGTAAATATAAAAACATATATTTAACCCTCCGAGTGTTCATAGTTTAGGCCTTAATGTCCGCCTATTTTTAGCGCATTTGCAAGGTTTTATTAAAACCGATCTGAGAAGCTTAAAACAATGTTAATTCTACTGTTCTATATACCATTTTGTTTGGAAAATCAATGGCTTCAATATTATAGCCTACATAAAACATAAGGAACATTTGTTTCAAAACAATTTTTTAGGTAAAAAAAAAATATTTTGGAAAATTTACAAAAAAAAAATAAATAAGTTCGCGCTCAATGAAATTGTATAAATTATAGGCCTATAAATATTTGAAAATAGCCACTTTGTTCTAAATTTTATGAGGATTACAAATATATAATAATATAAGGAAGTAGATTTGCAAATAAATAAGTTATGGGCAAAAAACAGATTTCAGTACATAGCGTTTAGCTAAGAATGCATAGCCTAACCATAGCTAGGAATCTGGCTGATAATTTACATCAATATCACTACCTACTTCTTCAGGATCATCAACCAGTCCTTCAAAATCACTTAAATCTTCTTATAATGCACCACGTATATCACTACTTTTGATTTTTAACACTAAAACAATGATAAACGTAATAAAACACATCAGTCATCGGTCCGAGGGTAACCTAGCTATTTACAAATACGCACGTCAGCTGTCTGCTACAATTACGATCGGCTCGGAGAACATACAGCGCTGAGACAGACCTCTGGAGAAAGCTTAGAATATAACGAAAAGAACGATACCTAACTCGATCCAGTTCAATCCGATTCAGTCAGTCATAGAGCCTTCGCCGTAAACGATGTTCGCGCGTCGAAAAATCGACGCGTGACACTACACAAAGTGTGTTGCGCGTCGAATTTTCTACGAGTGACGCTCGGAGGGTTAAAAGTTACTGCAAACTATGCAATCAAGAGATTCAAAGTGGTTAAGTTTCATAAAAGGAGAAGGTGCTGGATACTGGGCCCAACAACAAATGATCTTGGTAATGAAACAGGTGATCTTAGCCAGTAACAAAGCTACACATATCATCTCACATTATACACGAGCATCCTTCAGTCATATTTCAAGGGTTAAAATATGCACCTATCTGGCATCTCTAACTTAATAACAGATAATAACTTAAATTGACAACTGACCAAACTAGTCATCACTTTAAGTCGAAACAAAAAATAATACTATAGTCTAAGGACTTGACAATCAAATTCCTCATTGGTAAACATACCGCACCTGACTAAGAACATTACACTTAGGCCTACCTAGTTTATAAACATTTCATTGCACAAACACAGAAGTTACAACATAGGTCTACTTGATCAAATGCATGTACACCTATGCCAAGCTGGATTAACTTGTAACTTAATTAAGGCTTTACATTAGGCTAAGTCTGTTGCTATTGACAAAAGGATAACTTTAAATACTTACTACATAGCTGGGGTTGGTACTTTTACTTGCGAGAAGGCCCACGAATGTACATATCTGAAAGATAGGTATTGAATTGAGTTAACTTAGAGTAAATAAAAACATAGACTACGCTAACTATGTAGGCCTAGTTAGGCCTACTTTTAACATTATAAATTAGACTCCTAACCTACCCTGTTAATGGCCTAACTTAAAGTTCTTAGGACAACGATAGGCTAAGTTTAGTCATTAACTGAAATAGACCTAATTAACTTATTATGACCTGACATGTTGATTTGCAATTGAAAATAAAAGTTTTGTTTGGCTAAATTTAAAGGGGTCAGTAACTTATAAATGTAAATGTACCGTAAGTTAAGTTATAGCCTAGGATATTGTTTACATCCTTTAAGTTAGGAGGGGTATTTCTACAGATAAGTGAGTAAGTACCGGTATTTATTAACTTAAACCTAGACCAGTAACATGATTTAAGTTTAGCCTAACATTATTAAGTTCCTACTTACCCTACTCTATAAGCCCCCACAAAACCAACCCCTAGTTAATAACATACTCAAGATAAGATAAAGTCAAACTTCACTTAAGATAGGCTTAAATTTTTATTGAAGCTAAACCTATTATAAAAACCTATATTTAAAATTATTTGATAGGTTAGTAAGATGGGCCTAGAGTCACATTATCAATTTGACCTTTAAAATAAAAGTTTCAACAAACAAATTTCAATCAAAGCAGTAAGGCTACTTTGGCCAAACCAATTCAACCTAAAGGGAATAGGTTTGCTGTGCTAATTTAAAGGATATCAGGTCAAATTCCAAAGTTATTTAACATATTTATGTCCTTTTACGAGCACTGATGTGTGGTGATGGGAATGGATATGCAATTTTACCAGGGGTAACACAAATTATTTAGTAATCAGCAATTGAATTCATAAAAAGGCTTTGGTCTAGGCTATGACAGCCCCATATTTGATCACAAAATATAGGGATTAAACACTGAGTAACATAAAAAACTTTGCTTTTAAACCCTAATATGTAGCTAAATTGTTCGTATAACATACTAAAAGTCACAAAACTTACAAATTTCAAGTTGTGTTTTGTCATTAAGAATGTCTCTCAAATAGGCCATTTGTGATGTAAACATTGGAATTATGAAAACAGTTACTGCAGTTTAGAACTATAATTTAATGATGCTGTTGTATTATTTGTGTGTAAGAATATATTTACTACGATAATGAATGCAAAAATCGTCCGTATTAAACATTTAAAGCTTAGAAAATGGTAAATAAAAGCTAACCCACGGCTGCATTTAGGCCTATTAACATTGACAACACAGATGGCAGCACTATCGATAAGACTTTTACCAACAACCGAGTAGGATTAAAACTACTATTTTCACTTAAATTTATCGCCTTAAATACTACAAATATGGTAAATAAACATACTAAATAGTACAGCAACTAAGTAAACCCACTAAAACGACCCACATTAAGGCACAATTCACTAACTGACGCACACTAAAATACGAGATGCCATGTCTGTCATCAGCCTAACCAACATGTCCTCATTCCAAATTCCCACTTCGACATAAGCACTATTCCTATTTACACATAAAACCCCACTTTTATAGAACGATTCTTGGATATTTCAACTAGTATATCACATGATCAAAACTTATTTTCAATGCACATACACAGCATATTACCTAAATAATATGAGATAGTGTCATTTGGCGCCATCATGCCTGAAAAAATAACTGTAGAAGTTCACGTCACGTGACCACTTCGCGAGATCTCGGCTTCAGCGATACATTTTTGGAATCCAGATTCCAACAGAATAGCCAACATAATGCATCTTTAGAACTTGTATAACAAAATGTTTCAAATATCCACATTTATGTATTGTTGGTGTAAACAAGATTTTTTATCCAAAATAATAAAAGTAAAACCATTAACATTGACATGCGATATATTACATTGTTTAGGGCTTGCAGAAAAGGACATAACTGGATAGGTTTTAATAATTATTTTAGTATTTGTTTTTAAATGTTGGTCACATTTGATCAATTCTCATCATACAACACAACACAACACAACATCAGCACTCAGCAGTACAGTCATGTCAAACAGAATCAAAATGAAAGTGTAAACAAGTATTCAGTATAGCATAGCAGACGGTAGCAAAACGCTTATTTTTAGGATAAGGATTGGTTATCCCTAGTTTTAATTCATAATTATTTTGTATTCCTTAGGATTAATGTGTCATATCTGCATTAAGAAGATTAAAGTTGAGCTTTTAAAAACTGAAATTTTATTGCACCATATTTATGTAAAGAAGATTGGACGATAATACAAGATGGATGAGGTTAGTTGAAAACTTAAGCCTAAGTACTTTCTATTTAGGGTAATTAATTTGTCTCATACTTTAGTAGTAATCAATATGATTATTGTAGACATTTCTCCATCTGGCTTACAACTCTATATGTCTAGTTTAATAAGCCGTAAATAATGTGTACGGTAATTTCCTTTTCCATCACAGAGAAGCAGATGGGGTGGTCAGAATCTTAAGAAGTTAACTTATTCTTAAGTTGGGGTGGTGCTCTAAGTTATTCATGATTTAACATTAACATTTAAATAGAGAATGTAGTGGATGTGGATAGTGGATGGGACATCCGAATAAGAAAACTATTCGTTATTTGATAGTTCTGTTGTCTATTCGTTATTCAATTCAGCGTAAGTCGTCCGAATATTTTTTTTCCAACTTAATAGATTTTTGATATTGGTGTAAGGTAAGTTTTAACTTAACCCTTAGAGTGCCAGGCGAGAAATAAAAGTAACGCTCAAAAAATGCCGATGATTTTTCCCGAAGGTCGCGCTAAAAATGCCGAGCGCGATCTGGCGATTTTTAGGTTAAAATTTTGTAAAAATCGAATTTTCGATATTTCGACCAACGAAAATCGATGTATCGCATGTAGTAACTTTCGACTCAATGTTAATATATGGGTTAAAAGAATCTGAGTATCCATTCGGTTGTTATGACAACTGTTCGATCATTACGAAACGTCCGGTCAGCCGGACGTTGGCACTTTTGGCTCGTTCTAAAAACGTCCGGTCGGCCGGACGTCGGCACTTTTGGCTCGTTTTAAAAACGTCCGGTTCCCCGGACGTTGGCACTCAAAGGGTTAAAGGTTAAAAAGTAAAATGCCTATTTAAATTTATCGTATGAGCTATTAGTGTGTAGAAAGATAAGTTTCCAACTCAAACCCAATGAGGTACGGTACTTATCTAGATCGAATCCCTCCGGTGACAATAGCTTTTGTCGAAGATTTTGCTTAGAATGTGATTCTTCTTAACTGTACATCTTTTGTTAGAATTTGTCATTTATAATTTTATTTTAAGAACAGAACTATATTTGTTATTTATTATTAAAGCTTAAATTTAAAGGTTTAGGCTAGGCCTACTTATAAGTTAAGGACAGGTACTCTGCTAGTTTTCAATACTTAGGCTACTTACTTGATACTTGTGTGCTGCGTCGTTGACCGACAATGTCGGATAGACTGCGTTATTATATACATTTAAGAATAAACACTACTATTTACATACATATAAACAATAAAACTTAAACAGGCTGTGGCGGTAAATAAAACGTGTTCCCCATTTTTAATGAAGGGCTTTTATATGACTTTTAGGGGTTCTTTACTCAGCTCCTCCAGCGAGTACAGTGGCCTATCCACCAAGCTATTTCTGATGGCAGCTTTGAAAGAGGTGATTTCCATATCCCGCACCTTAACCGGCAAGGTATTAAAAAGCCGTATGGCATAGCGGGGATAGCTCTTGAGGGTGCGGGTGAGACGACAACGCGGCATGTCAAGGTGTAGTGCTTGCCGGGTGTCATAGCGGTGGTGAACTTCTCTTCGGTCAAACCGATGGACATTCTCTTTCAGGAGTATTAGGATGTTCAATACATTTTGACTGAAGACTGTAAGAATGCCCAGATCTTTAAAAAGGGGCCTACAATGTTCGTTGTAGTCGGCTGACATTATGATTCTTACAGCTTTTTTCTGGAGCAATAATATGTTCTGTGCTGCTGGTGAATGACCCCAAAGTACCAAGCCGTACATAAGATGGCTATGAAACAGAGCATGGTACACAGCTATCAAGAATTGCTTCGGGATGATGTTCCGAAGTTTCCTTAGGAGGCAAATAACCCTAGATAGCCGTGTGCATACCCTATCAATATGTGAGCTCCAGCTTAGTTTGGGATCCATCCAGAAACCTAGAAGTTTAACCGCCTCATCTCTTTCGGTTAGTGGCTTCAGTGTGCAGAGCAAGGACTGAATCTTGGCTGCATTTAATTTCCGGCGGTTTGCTGTAAACCAGTTCTTGGCCAGCTCCAAAAGATGGTCAGCTTCAATATACAGTTGCTCAATGTCGCTTCCTCTAGATATCAGGGTGGTGTCGTCAGCGAATAGGAGGGTGGAGCCATTTAGCCTCAAATCGTTCACCGCCACACTAAAAAGGAGAGGGCCGAGCACCGAGCCCTGTGGCACTCCATGTGAGATACTCCTAACGCAGGAGAAGGCCCCGTTTATCACAACTACTTGCCTGCGATTTGCCAAATAACAGGACAGGGACTTCAGCACAGTTCCGCCCACACCATACTTTGCTAGTTTGCCTATCAGTAGCTTATGGGACACCACATCAAACGCCTTGCTCAGATCGCAAAGTCTGAGGAGGATTGACTCATTATGTTCAAAGGCGTCAGTAATTGTTTAAACAAGACTCAACAGTGCGGTGGTTGTAGATCTACCCCCTCTAAATCCATGCTGTGCACTCGAGAGAATGCTGTTTGTCTCAAGATAGGCCATGAGTTGTCTTTTCATGACCGTCTCCAGCACCTTAGAGAAGACTGGGAGTATGGAAATAGGACGAAAGTTTGAATATATTCACAATATATTCACACTGGCTGTTGATAACCTATTTGTTAGACGATGAATGTACTTGCCATAGCCAGCGCCAATAAGTTAATTGATGTTTTTTTGATAACCTTCCTGTAATATTTTTAGTCAATGAAAATATTTTAGCATGCTAATTATTTTTCTGGCTGTTAATTCGTTTTTTAAATAGTTTTTTTTTTTTCAGAACGATTTAGGGTTTCGAACTGCAGATGAATTCACTAAGCTCTACTATGAAAGTATGGATCGGAAAAGACATGTAAGTAATACACAAAGTTAGGTTTCTTTAGAAACAATTTGTTTTAAACAAAACCTCACTTTTCTAGTCAAAGGCAAAGAGGTATGCTCAGTTGACAACATGGATTATTCTCTGAGAAAGTAACTTTAGACTTCACAAATAGATCAATGAAATCTAAAGACTGCTACCTTTAAAGGCAAGAAATTAATTTTGAGCAGATTTTTGTTAGGTACCCATTGAGATAAAAAGGTTTTCTTTCCCGCCACACACTTGTTTTCCAACCATTTTGCAAGGCTATAATTATTAATATAAATTTTTTTAACAATAGTTAGGCCTAATTAATAATTTTTTATTAGCGAATTTCCCATATAGGGAATAAGCTATTACCGTAGTACGGTAGCCTACTCCTGGACGCGGGACCGATTTTTATTTTCGTTTTGAGGTCCCTAGAGGCCAAAAACGCCATCCGTTCAAATTCATATATATATATATGTGTGTGACCGTTAACATGATAACTCGAGCAAAAATGATCTGATTTTGATGAAATTTGGTATAAACGTGTAAACCTACATTTATTCAAACGAGTTCGCGAACCAGCATGATCGGACTATGGGAACGGGGTTTTATGGGGTAAAAACAGGTTTTTCCCATTTTTGACCCAAAAAACATAAAATTTAGCAATTTCTTTCCAAACCATTTTGTAGAGCTTAAAAAAAAAAAAAACTAATTTAATATATTGAAGCATTATTATGCGCCTAATGGTTACGGAGAAAATTAAAAAAAAATGTAAATTCAAAATTCCCATGTTATTCTTATGGAGAACAAGTAAACTGTTGTAGTTTGCTTGTTTATGAACATATTTTGATCAAATTTGGAAAATGTTTTTATTTCTTACTAACTATTAGCATTTTACAAAAAAAAACTGTTTTACCCTCCCTGATGCAGCAAACCTAAGTACTTGTTAAACTAATTCTATATAAATAGGAAATAAATTTTATATTTTTAAGTAGACATTTTAGTACCGGTATCCAATCAGGCAAATGGAAATTCACTTAGTCTGCTGGTTTGCTGCGGCGGGGGTATTTAAATATTAATTTAATAAACGAATGGTTTTAACTCTTCCAACAGACAGTAAGAACATCAGGAAGTGAAAAACTTAACATTTGCTTGCTTTTATCATAATCTTACTTAATAAATTGTTGCAGCTTATGTCAAAGTACTATATGGACAATGCCTCTCTAGTATGGAATGGAAATGGAAGAAATGGAGCCGATGAAATTCAAAAGTTTTTAGCCAGTTTGCCTATTAGCATACATAATTTGACCAGCAAAGATGTTCAAAGAATTCCAGGTACGGTATAATATCATAAGTAATATTAGTCTCTTCCGTTAATTTGATTAAAAGTTTATTTCCCCCTCCTCCAGCTCTTATAAACTGAATGGAGACCGATTTTTTTTTAGAACCATGGAATTCTATATTACAACTCAGCACACTAATGTTAGGCTACAACATATTTTACATCCATGGACAAACAAATGTATCCGGCAGAAGATTTGTTAAAAATTGTTAATTTTATCATCTTATACATTAAAACGTGACAGGGTTTTTTATTTCACAATTCTGAATCAACCACTTGACGGATTCTCATGATCTTTGTATTGAAAGAAAGATAATTTTGAGAACTAGGGAATGTCGAAGCCATAATTTTACAGGAAAAGATTTTAATTTTAAAATACTAGCTACTTGGGATGTATAAAAAAATAAAATGAAAGCTCAATAGAGCAATGGGGGAATTGCGGGAAACCCTAAACTAAAATTATGGCTTCGACATTCCCTAGTTCTCAAAATTATCTTTCTTTCAATACAAAAATCATGAGAATCCGTCAAGTGGTTGATTCAGAATTGTGAAATAAAAAAACCCTGTCACGTTTTAATATATAAGATGTTTAACCACTTAAAATTTCCTTGGATTAGAAATGGAAATATTGATATACCTTCAGTTTTAGTTGACTGACTACTCAATTCGCGTACGTAGGACAGCTCGTTTAGCTTTAAATTAAAACACAACAAAATTTCTTTCAGTGCTCATGCCACCGTTGATAGAATCATTAACTCTGCATGTAACAACTTTGCGGGTAATATGTTCCAAATTTACAACAAGACAGTTTAGTTGGGAGATGAATCTCATGAAATCAGACTAAGAAAAGTGGTTGGCTAACTTATCTGTACTTCAAAATTACAAAAACGTTACTGATGATATTTGTGTTTTTCTACGCACTTTGTACTATGGTTTTTAATTGTATTTGTACTAATGCTTTATCAAATGCTACCAACCTGATTGACGTTTGTAATAGATGGTGCTGTTGGGAACAAGATGGCCTATGTCATACAGACTGCAGGAAATGTTAAATACCAGGGGAAAGAAAATAGAAAAATGTTTTACCAAACATTCGCAATCACAAATGAAGGTGACAAGTGGAAAATTGTGTCAGACTGTTTCAGATTTCAAGAACATGTTTCGTAATGATTAAGACTCTATTGTGACTACAGTACATTTTTATACTACTTTTAATAAACTTACTGAAATATTTTAATTTTTGGTGCATAACCCTTTCTTGTAAATTTGGGGGTAAAAATAAACTAGGTATGGTTTTTTCCGTCAAATGTATTCTAATTCGTTGTGGTCAAATATGATTCTGTTGTTAGGTCAAATTATTTAGGTAACACAGAATAGGAATGTTAACATATATTCCTTGCACATGACAAAAATCCTTATTCTCTTTTCCTTAGTCGATAGTACAACGAGTCAGTAATAGATAGTGATGTAAAATTCCCAGCCATGTACTGTACAATTTGGGACAAATGCAAAAAAGAAGAAAAAGCTCTTGAACTACCTGTGCTATAACACCCAGTGCTAGAACCGGGTCCTAGATGCCATTTTTTATTGGGCACGGGGGCAATCAATGATTTTATCAAAAGGTCAAAGATTAGGTAGTAAAAGACCAATGTTTGGACCGGTCTGTACAAAAACATAAAACGTGTCAATGGTGCAGAAACACACAATTAGGCCTAACATTTTTTTTATCATAACAGAAACATACAAAATTATTACACTAAAAAAATTTTGTTTCACATAAAGAACAGATTTTGCCAAGAATGGTTTACAATAATAATACAGTAGGTAGGTGATTAGGCTACAACAGATAGCTCAACATCAGATTTGACTATCAATGTTTTATACAATTGTGTCAGTAAGTTCTGATAGTGATATCTAGTTTCCCTCTTCCTATAGATAGTGCAGGAAGATGATTTCACAATTTCAAAAAATAAACATTCAATATAGCCTGCAAATTAAGTATAGTTCGGCCGCTTAGAAAGCGACCTCCTCTAGCATTGGTTAGCATTAGCGTGCAGGTCGTTTTCCAAGCGGCCGAACTACAGTAGCCATTGATCAATTTAGGAAAGAAATATAGTTCAGTTGACTTACCCATGGACAAGTAAGGTACAGAGGAAACTTGATTATGAGAGGATGGTATGCTTTCAGCTTGAATGTTGTGCCATATATAATATAATACTTGTGACGAGCCAGGAAGAGTCTGAGCGGCGAGCACTGTGCTGAAATTTGTATATCGCACAGGGTCTTGCCCTACGGGTGGGGGTTGTTAGACTTTACCCTACACCACTTATGTGTAGTGTACTATTGGATGTTTCCATATGTACCTTACTTCTTACTTTGTGGCTTACCTAAGAAAATTGCAGTCCAGCTCACAGACTCAAAAAATAAGTCACGCAACACAGTGTATAGTTCTGATATGTTGTCCTGATTCTTGTTACTTCTTCAGAGAATATATTGAAAATGAATCCATTTCTCAATCAAGCTAAAATTACACTCAATCACTATCTGAACGCAATCTAAAACAAATTCCCCTATCACCCTTGAGGCTTTTCCTCATCATACAAATCATGTAGGCTATTTTAAGGGTTTTTAATAGAAATAAATTTGAAAAAAAATTGAGCAGATGGGCAAACAAACACATACCTACCAGCAACTACTAGATAAAAGTAACTGATTTACTTGCTGGATTGAGTTGAGTCTGCTGTCAATTAGGCTAGGTGTTTCTTACAATCAAGTACCCTACCGGTATGTCATTAAATTGTACCATTGGACCCAATGGGTCCATTGGATATAAACCAAATGGGTCTTTTTCCGTTAATTAACTACTACTACTTTTTTAATGAAATTCCGTTTATTCACTACCAGAATGTTTTCATAATCAGCAAGCTTGGTTGATTATATGTTAGTTTAGAATAGTTTCATTTTATAATTGATACATTCATAGACTAGGCTAACTGTTATAAAAATGTCAGAATTGCAATAAAAAAGTAGTGGTAGTGAACGGAAAAGAACCAAAAAATGTTCTCATATCTGCACAGAAGCAGATTTGGGCTCGGCTGCTCTAGTGGGTAAAAACCATCTGTCTTAAAGGTCTCTTTGGAATCAACAACACCTTTTTAGATGTGTGATAATGCAGTGAAACTGGTTTGTATCTACCTTGTGTTGCAAGTCCATCCATAAAAAACAAATGGATCTCTCTGACGAAGACAACTAGGTCAACCGTCAATGTTCCGATAACGTCAAGGAGCCAGATGTTTTTAATTTTAAGGCAAGACCATTAATAATCAATGTTTTTCATTTGAAGTTTTTTGTGTGCTTTCTCCCATGGCTAATTTACCTTGATACTAGCTAGTTGTTATAGATGGCATATATGATGGAAAAACATTGATGTTTTGAAAAAAAAACATTGGATTCTATCAATCCTCACCCATACACAACATAAAGCCTTATTTTCCACCACTCTTTTGAGTACAGTAATGAAAAAACTGATAATGATACAAATAACAATTCAAATAGACTGCCCATAAGAATCTCCCAATCTACAAGATCTATTGATAATTCGGTTGGTTCTTTTCCGTTAATTCACTACCACTACTTTTTTAATTGCAGTTCTGATATTTTTAACAGTTAGCCCAGTCTATGAACATGAATACATATATAAGTTTTAAAATTAAACTATTCCATAAACTATACCAACCAACCAAACCTCATCTATAGACTGAAAGTTAACCATTCTGATGAAGAGTGCTTGTTCACTGAACAAGTTATCTTTGTGTCAGCCTAGACTGTTCTTTGTAAATTATAAAATTTGTTTAACCCTTAGAGTGCCAGGCGAGAAATAAAAGTAACGCTCAAAAAATGCCGATGATTTTTCCCAAAGGTCGCGCTAAAAATGCCGAGCGCGATCTGGCGATTTTTAGGTTAAAATTTCGTAAAAATCGAATTTTCGATATTTCGACCAACGAAAATCGATGTATCGCATCTAGTAACTTTCGACTCAATGTTAATATATGGGTTAAAAGAATCCGAGTATCCATTTGGTTGTTATGACAACTGTTCGATCATTACGAAACGTCCGGTCAGCCGGACGTTGGCACTTTTGGCTCGTTCTAAAAACGACCGGTCGGCCGGACGTCGGCACTTTTGGCTCGTTTGAAAAACGTCCGGTTCCCCGGACGTTGGCACTCAAAGGGTTAAAATTGTAGTTTAGGACGACTTTCACTATTTTAATATTGCACATTATTTAATTTATGTTTTTGATAAGGACTTTAGTGCTGAATTTATGAGTTATGAGACTTCTTAATTTAGTGTTAAACGTCATGGCATTTTTCTCAAATTTCTGTTTAGAGATGGACATTATGATTTATGGATAGACTTGTTGTGGTCTTCACCCTTGAGCATTATGGAACTCTCCCGTAATCACAGAATCACATTCAAGAGAAAAAACACAATAAATCCTCACAAATCTACATTCACATTAGTAACCAACTAATTAAAGATTTCAAAGCATAAATCTAAATTATATACCAGAGGAGAACGAACTACAAATTTATTTTCTGCAACTTTAATCAAAATGTACACATATATAAAGAGATTATAAAACACTTCCTAGGCACAGTTAAATACAAAACAAAACAAAGAGATTGCTTACAATAATGTACATTACGATAAAATGCAAGATTTAAGTAGCCTTTCCTACAAAGGCGATTCAGTCTCATATTTTCAACTCTAAACTGTTTTGAGTTTTCTCTTGACATGTACATATTACTTTTAATAACCCCTTCAATGATCTCAATGGAAACTAACGGGTCTACAAATACAGTATTGCATATCGAAAAATAAAAACATAGTTCATGCACAAAGCATAAATGAAAAGTTGTGAGCTTGTAAAATGTAATGCACATCAATGAGTATCAAGTTAAAAAAATAAATCCAGGGGCGAGTTAAGATTTAAATATTTTAAATACTGTCACGAGTTTAGTCTTCAACACTTAAACGAGAATAAAAAATTGTTGATAGTTAAAAATACAGCAATTAGAATAGATTTGAGTTGTAGTCGAGTTAACAGCTAGCTAATGAGTAGGAATTACAAATTAATTTGCTTTACAAAGTTAATTACAGATGAGCAAACTTGTATAAACTAAAACACAGCAAGACAAAACACTAAATTAAATATCTAAAAAATCAACAATCTTAAATATTAACACTTCTAACTGAGGCAATATAGGATATACTAAGCTGGCAGTGTTCACAAATTTGTTTAACTTGGTACAATAAATTTAAAGGTACAGTAGAACCTGGATAGGTCGACACGGACAGTGATAACGTGACATGACGGGTTCGCCGAGGTAAAAAACTAGAGCCTTATTGTTTCTGTGCACGCAAAAACTCAATACATTAACTATCTCATTAATTTACATTTTTCCCGTAATCCAAGGTGAAAGGCTATACAACATAACTATTTTAACAACAGTTAACTATTTTAAACAGTAAGAAGACAAAGAATATATAGAGTAGAGATGCGAGTTGATAATGATTGGTTTGCTTACTTTTGTCAAGTTTTATAATATTCATTAAATTTGCTTGCTTTATCTCATGTTTTAAGTACTCCCTGTGTGAGTAAATGTCTAAATACACCCTATAGTTTGACACGCCCTTAGTCCACAAAGTGTCAAACTATCAAGGTTCTACTGTAGTAACTAACTCCAATTTACAACTTATAGGTTTTGAACTCTTTTGCTTATACCTTAATGTTCTAATATCATACAAAGTCAAAACACTCACAAAGTAAAACAAAACGTGGCCATAGTTCAAATAAAATACTCTTTTACTAGGTTATGATATGTTCATGACATGGCATATAAAAAAGTGTTTCCTTTGCAATTAATGAAGCTACTTTTAATTCATTTATTATTTTGAGTGCTCTGTCATGGTTTATTCACTATGAAAAAAGAAATAAGGTACAGAATTTAATTATATAAAAAAAACACACACACAAAGAGAAAAGGAGTAATGTTTCTTATTTTTACTGGTGAAACAGGGAAATTAAGGAACAGATGTATGAAATAATAATTTCACATCAAACATACTAATTAAAATGTGCACCGAAGATTTGCATTTAGGCTGTAACCTTGAGTCTTGTACAAATTTAGTCAGTTTTACAATTTGTGTAAAAAATAGCTTACATGATTCTTGTTT